TGTTTAAAGTTGGAATGGGTTCCCATTTGGCAGTTCTGAGTAACTTGAAGAGAAAGGAGTGAAGGGATAGGCTACTTCATACTCTTTTCCATAGCCAACATACGTCACACTAAAACACACTTTCACACCTATGCTTATTTCACACCCAGAACACTTTAAACACACTGCATCTTGAAACACACATAAAGTACACTACTTCACACCTATGCTACCTTTTTATGCCAGCACATATTTGCACTGCTTGAGTAAACAGCAGGGGTGTTAGCACAGCTGCTGAAGTTTAGGGACCAACCAGAAACCGATGCGCGTCCCAAATAGCACCGTATGGACCCTGATGTACAACATGTGCACTATATAGGGAATAGGGAGCCATTTGAGTCAGAGAGTATGTGACTGTGGTTAATATCCACGGTCTGTTCCGGGCCTATAAAACAGACCAGCAGTGAGGCCCTTCAACAAAGAGTTCCAGTGTTCAGCTGCACATTAACAGGACCAAACACACTGGCCCACTTTGCTCACTAACTAACGTCACTGACGTTGGATCACCGTCAGGTCTCTAACCAGCTCCTTTTGTGTTGACATAAAAAGATTCTACCTTCCAGGCAGCTCCAGCGGTGTTCCAAATAGCCCATAAGATGACTGTTCAAAGACTGCATCGTGCTGGAGGCCCACTGTGTGTCTACTGTCCACCTGCACAACTAGCGACTAAAAGACTAGCTTTGTTGTCCAAGTGTGACAACCTACCAACCGTTTTGACTGTTGGCTCAGACTGGTGTAGCTCTAATAGCCTTTAGGTCAACAAGGTCAAGCCACTCAACAGACAATTTTAGGAGCATCCGTAAAGAGCAGCAGCTGGGTAGTTCCACTAATTTATAGATAATGTGGATGTGTCAGGCTCATCAGTTGTTTTACTGTTTGTGAACCCAGATGGTTTGAAGAGTAGTGGGATCTACAGAAGGGCAGGGCTCTGATTGGTGTCTGGGGTCCGATGGAATGGAACTTTTAACAGTCAGTCTGGCTCATGCAGGGTTTATGGAGTAGTATGAAGTTGCTACTGAGAGACCTGAGCCCTAGGACCATACGTCGGGACTACCGGCCGTGGTGACTCCTTGCTGTCCCCAGTCCGCCTGGCCTTGCTGCTATTCCAGTTTCAACTGTTCTGCCTGCGGTTATGGAACCCCTACCTGTCCCAGACCTGCTGTTTTCAACTCTTAATGATCGGCTATGAAAAGCCAACTGAGATTTATTCCTGATTATTATTTGACCATGCTTGTCACTTATGAACATTTTTGAACATCTTGGCATGGTTCTGTTATAATCTCCACCCGGCACAGCCAGAAGAGGACTGGCCACCCCTCATAGTCTGGTTCCTCTCTAGGTTTCTTCCTAGGTTTTCGCCTTTCTAGGGAGTTTTTCCTAGCCACCGTGCTTCTACACCTGCATTACTAGCTGTTTGGGGTTTTAGGCTGGGTTTCTGTACAGCACTTCGAGATATTAGCTGATGTAAGAAGGGCTATATAAAATAAAATTGATTGATTGATTGATTGCTACAAGACACTGATCTAAGGTCTGTTTTGTGTTTCTTCTCACTAATGGTTAAGGTTAGGATTATGGTGGGTAAGCTGATCCTAGATCTGTGACTACGGGCAATGTCTACCTAGAGCGAGTTTAAAGGATGCCTGCTGGGTTTATTTGGGCCTGTTAAAACCCTATGAGAGAGCAGCTATCTCTCTTCAGCCCCCATCTTGCTGAGTGAACACAATCTCAAGGCTAACCTTCTCTCCGTATACGTTTCTCTGAAGAAAAAAGAGAAATGGAAGACACTGAGTCACAGCTTTAGTCTCTGGGTCTTTCAAATGTGGAAACTTTTCTAGGAATCCTTCTACAGTGTTCATAATAAAGTTGGTGGAAAATGACTTGAGGGAAGGAGGAAAGTTACTGAAGGGATTGGAAGCTTTCTCCTGCACGGTATAGCAACTTTGAAAGAACTAGAGTAGAACCATGGTATTTTGAAATGTTTATACAAGATGTTAATCACTTTTGTCGTGGGTGCGTTGTTTCAATAGCCTGTCAGAGAATGTACAGTGCCTTCAGAAAGTATTCATACCCCTTGACTTATTACACATTTTGTTAAAGCCTGAATTCAAAATGGATTTAAAAAAATGTATATCACCCATCTACACACAATACCCCATAAGGATAGTTTACATTTTTTATTTCAATTTTATGTGGGAACATTCACTGTCTTCTTGCTAAGCAACGCCAGTGTAGATTTGGCCTTGTGTTTTAGGTTATTGTCCTGCTGAAAGGTGAATGAATATCTCCCAGTGTCTGGTGGAAAGCAGACAACCAGGTTTTCCTCTAGGATTTTACCTGTGCTTAGCTCCATTCCGTTTCTTTTTTTATCCTGAAAAACTCCCCAGTCCTTAACCTTTTCACACATACCAACAAACGGGTGTGATCATTCTACAGTGCTCCCTGCTGCGTAAGCTCAAACCAGTGTGATTAGAACGCTTATTTAGAATGTCCAGTTTCGATTGACGCAACAGTCAGCATTTGAGCTAGCAACAGTGTTTTTTCACAGAAACATTTTGCACAAACACAGTCCTTACAAAGTTATGTCCTGAATGTGACCAGTACATTTTTTGGATGCATGTTACGACAGCATACAGAATCATCTAAATCGAAAAATGTAGGCTACATTAGTCCTAGCGCTAACTGAGGAAAGATTGACTAACACAAGCGGTCATATTTAGATATTTAGATAACTCTCGGCTTTCAGAAACCACAATATGAAATAGCTAATAGCAATTACTATTTATAATACATCACATCACGGGTGAGCTCACCATTGATCAAAATAATTGAGTAAAACACTTTCTAGAAATCGAAAGTAATCCGACGATGGGTAGTTTGTGCGCGCCGCCATGTTAGTTTTTTTCGCCTCAACCAAAGATAATAAGAGGAGACAAGACGAGTTTGGTCTGTTTGCAGTATGCATGTTGACAGACATTTACGTGACACCCAGAATGCATTGTATAATGTCAACAAACATGGCGCCACACATAGCTGGCAAATAGCTTAGCATTAGCTCATTAAAAATCAATAGAACCTTCAAAAAAGTATTTTACACACATCATAGGTGTCCATTACAATTTATGCAATAATTGGAATGCATTATTTGTCACCAGTACTTGTGAATAAAACTGTAAATACATTATGCTCTATACATACAAAACATACAAACTGTATGCTATAGTAGAAACGACAACACGGTATACAGAAAATAAGGCACTAACTTTGATAGGAACGCACACATGTCCAAAGTTATTATTTGTAAGGAAAACAACAAGGCGATGCGAGCGCCAGCCAGAAAATGTTCCAATTCGAGCAAGACTGCGCAAATGTCTGCATACCTGATCTGCGGAAGCATTGATGAAGACGTGCTTGGGCTCTCCTCGAATAAATAAGTTTGTCCGGCTCAGTAAAGCCTCAAACATAAATTGTCCGCAACAGTGAAATGGGCTACTTCTATGTGAATTAATGAGGAGGCGGAACACACCTCAATTCAAACTGTTAGAAAATAAAACTTGTTAGAAAATAATTTGAAATTGAGAAGTTGAAACAGCCTATAACCGGTGCCCCCGCACATTGACTCTGCACCGGTACCCCCCCTGTATATAGCCTCCCTACTGTTATTTTACAGCTGCTCTTTAGTTATTTGCTTTTATTCTTTAAAAAATAAAAAATGCATTGTTGGTTAAGGGCTTGTTGGTTAATGTGGCAAATTTGATTTGATTTGATAATTAGCAGGCAGCGCGTGTTAACTGTCCTGTTGCGTAACAATCACATTTTGGAACAGTGAGTGCATTCTGACATCACGTCCATAAAACAACTCACGCTGGGGCGACCGTTAGAGGTATTTGGAACTCACGTGAAAAGGTTAACGATTACAAGCATACCCATAACATGATGCAGCCACCACTATGCTTGAAAACATGGAGTGGTACTCAGTTATGTGTTGTATTGGATTTGCCCCAAACATATCACTTTGTATTCAGGACCAAAGGTTAATTGCTTTGCCACATTTTCTGAGCAGTATTATTTTAGTGCCTTCTTGCAAACAGGATGCATTTTTTTGAATATTTTTATTCTGTACAGGTTTCCTTCTTTTCACTCTGTCAATTAGGTTAGTATTGTGGAGTAACTACAATATTGTTGATCCATCCTCAGTTTTCTCCTATCACAGCCATTAAACTCTGTAACTGTTTTAAAGTCACCATTGGCCTCATGGTGAAATCCCTGAGCGGTTTCATTTTACATTTACATTTTAGTCATTTAGCAGATACAGGTTTCCTTCCTCTCCGGCAACTGAGTTAGGAAGGACGCCCATATCTTTGTAGTGACTGGGTGTATTGCTACACCATCCAAGTGTAATTAATAACTTCACCATGCTCAAAGGGATATTCAATGTCTGCTTTTTAAATGTTTTACCTATCTACGAATAGGTGCCCTTCTTTGCGAGGCATTGGAAAACCTCCCTCGTCTTGTGGTTGAATTTGTGTTCGGAATTCACTACTCGACTGAGGGACCTTACAATTTTCTGTATGTATGGGGTACAAATCATGTTCAACACTATTATTGCACACTGAGTGAGTCCATGCAACCTATTATGTGACTTGTTAAGCACATTTTTACTAAGGGAAGGTATTTGTTTGCCTGGCATGGTCTGACTCGGCCTGGTGGGCTATTTGTGTGTGTGCGTCACCTGCCTGTGGTGTCCTGTGTAGTTTTTTGCCAGTTCTGGCGGGGATGCCCGGCGTCTCCCGGGGCACACAGGAAAAAGAGGGCATGCCTCCGGGCCGAGGCTGGGATGAGATGACTGCCGGATAAAAGAAGGGAGAACGAAAGAGCGTGGACAGGATGGAGGGAGGAGGACTGAGGGAAGAATAAATGACAGGAGGAAAGAGAGAGAGGGAGGATGAAAGGAAAGAGGAACCATGATTGAGGTAAAGGAGAGGGAGAACGGGGCCAATGTTGAGGCGAGCAGGGTAAAGGAGAGAGAGAATGGGGCCAGTGTTGAGCGAGCAGATAAGGAGAGAGAATGGGGCCAGTGTTGAGGCGAGCAGGGTAAAGTAGAGAGAGAACGGGGCCAGTGAGGCGAGCAGGGTAAAGGAGAGAGAGAATGGGGCCAGTGAGGCGAGCAGGGTAAAGGAGAGAGAGAATGGGGCCAGTGTTGAGGCGAGCAGGGTAAAGGAGAGAGAGAATGGGGCCAGTGTTGAGGCGAGCAGGATAAAGGAGAGAGAGAACGGGGCCAGTGTTGTCTGAGTTAGAGTATGGTCATACATTTGGCAGGAGGTTAGGAATTGCAGCTCAGTTTCCACCTCATTTTGTGGGCAGTGTGCACATAGCCTGTCTTCTCTTGAGAGCCAGGTCTACCTACAGCGGCCTTTCTCAATAGCAATGCTCACTGAGTCTGTACATAATCAAAGCATTCCTTAATTTTGGGTCAGTCACAATGGTCAGGTATTCTGCCACTGTGTACACTCTGTTTAGGGCCAAATAGCATACCAATTTGCTCTGTTTTTTAAAATTATTTCCAGTGTGTCAAATAGTTGTCTTTTTGTTTTCTCATAATTTGGTTGGGTCTAATTGTGTTGTTGTCTTGGGGCTCTGTGGGGTCTGTTTGTGGACAGAGCCCCAGAACCAGTTGACTGAGGACTGTTCTCTAGGTTCATCACTCTGTAGGTGATGGCTTTGTGGTGAAATGTGTGTGCATCGTTTCCTTTTAGGTGTTTGTAGAATTGAACGTCTCTTTTCTGGATTTTGATAACTAGCGGGTATAGTCCTAATTCTGCTCTGCATGCATTTGGGGTTTTACATTATACACAAAGTATATTTTTGCAGAATTCTGCATGCAGAGTCTCAATTGGGTGTTTGTCCCATTTTGTGAATTCTTGGTTGGTGAGTGGACCCCAGACCTCACAACCATACAGGGATTGATGGTTTCTATAACTGATTGAAGTAATCTTTAGACAGATCCTAATTGGGATGTCGAGTTTTATGTTCCTTTTGATGGCATAGAAGGCTCTTCTTGCCTTGTCTCTTAGATCGTTCACAGCCTTGTGGAAGTTACCTGTGGTGTTGATGTTTAGGTTGAGGTAGGTATAATTCTTTGTGTGCTCTAGGGCAACGGTGTCTCGTTATAATTTGTATTTGATGTCCTGGCAACTGGACCTTTTTTGGAACACCATTATTTTTGTCTTACTTAGATTCATTGTCAGGGCCCAAGTCTGACAAAATCTGTGAAGAAGATCTAGGTGCTGCTGTAGGCCCTCCTTGGTTGGGGACAGAAGCACTGGTTCATCTGCAAACAGTAGACATTTGATTTCAGAGTCCAGTAGGGTGAGGCCGGGTGCTGTAGACTTTTCTAGTGCCCTTGCCAATTCATTGATATACACTGAGTTTACAAAACATGACATAGACTGACCAGGTGAATGCTATGATCCCTCATTGAGGTCACCTGTTAAATCCACTTCAATCAGTGTAGATGAAGGGGAGGAGACAGGTTAAAGAAGGGTTCTTAAGCCTTGAGACATGCATTGTGTATGAGTGCCTTTCAGAGGGTGAATGGGCAAGAGTTGTGTTAATACTATTGTAATTATTCTGCACCATAGCCTATTTACTGCCTTACCTCCATAACTTGCTACATTTGCACACACTGTATATATATTTTCTGTTGTATTTCTGACTTTGTTTTCTACCCCATATGTAACCCTGTGTTTTTTTATTTATTGCACTACTATGCTTTATCTTGGCCAGGTCGCAGTTGTAAATGAGAACCTGTTCTCAACTGGCTTACCTGGTTAAATAAAGGTAAAAAAAGACAAAAGTGCCTTTGAATGGGGTATGGTAGTAGGTGCCAGGCGCACCGGTTTCAGTGTGTCAAGAACTGCAACGTTGCTGAGTTTTTCATGCTCAACGGTTTCCTGTGTGTATCAAGAATGGTCCACCACCCAAAAGACATCCAGCCAACTTGACACAACTGTGGGAAGCATTGGAGTCAACATGGGCCAGCATCCCTGTGGAACGCTTTCAACACCTTGTAGTCCATGCCCCGATGAATTGAGGCTATTCTGAGGGCAAAAGTGGGTGCAACTCAATATTAGGAAGGTGTTCCTAATGTTTTGTACACACAGTGTATATGTTGAAGGTGGGGCTCAAGCTGTGTCCCTGTCTCACCCCCCTGAGGAACAAAATCTGTGTGTTTATTGCCAATTTTAACTGCTCACTTGTTGTTTGTGTCAATTTGTATAGCAGACCAAACCTTTTTTTGAAATCAACAGAGCATGAGAAGACTTTGCTTTTGTTTGTTTGTCAATAAGGGTGTGTAGGGTGTATACGTGGTCTGTCGTACAGTGTGAGGTTGGCGTTTGGATTGGAACAGTGAGGAGGCAATATGAGGAAGATGTGTTTTTTTCTTGCCCAGAGTGAGGCTTCTATTAGCAAACGTGAAGATAAGCCGGCGACTGTACAAGTATTAAAAAAAACAAATAAATAGGACGATGAACAAAAAGTAGGCCTAATCAACTCAAAAGAAAATCCAGGCTCAATAATTACACTGGATGAGCTACAGGACAAAATACAAACCCTCCAACCCAAAAAGGCCTGTGGTGTTGATGGTAACCTAAATTAAATGAGAAAATATACAGACCACAAATTCAAAACAAAAGTGGAGAAAAATGTTACCCCAATAATGACAGTGGAATCTGTGTCAACAGCAATCTCGGAAGAATCCTCTGCAGTATCATCAATAGCAGACTCCAACATTTCCTCAGTGAAAACAATGTCCTGTAATTATTGCCTGTTAACCCGGCAGCATGCTGATCTGACCCTGTTTGTCTGTCTCTCAAACAAAGTAATCACATGCTTCTTGTAACAACACCCATTACCCAGACTGCATCACAAACCCTACCAATTATATAATTGACAATCAACTTCAATAAAGGCATGAAAAGGTATACAAACACATTCAGGTAGTATATTCCACACGATAAATATCCCCACATTATTATCAATAAATAAATGTTATTCTCATCAACCGTAAATCATCAGTGTCTGGTTATTCAAATAAGCATGTCTTTAGATTAGGTGACGGAGATGACATACGGTATTTTGGTTAAAAGCCTATTTGACATTTGCTCAGGATGTTGTTTTCACTGAGGAAATGTTGGAGTCTGCAGAGGATTCTTTCTGAGATTGCTGTTGACACAGATTCCACTGTCATTATTGGGATCAAATTTGTCTCCACTTTGTGGATTGGGGTGACCAGACCTTGGTCCCAAATATTGGGGAAGATGCCAGAGCTGAGGATAATGTTGAAGAGTTTAAGAATAGCCAATTTGAATTTGTGGTCTGTATATATTCTCATTTTGTTTTAGTTACCATCAACACCACAGGCCTTTTTGGGTTGGAGGGATTGTATTTTGTCCTGTAGTTCATACAATGTAATTGGAGAATCCAATGGGTTCTGGTGGTCTTTAATAAATTATTCTAAGTTTAGTAAATTATCATGTATATGTTTTTGTTCTTGGTTCTTAGTTATATGTCCGAAAAGGTTGGAGAAGTGGTTTATCCATACATCTCCATTTTGGATAGATAACTCTTTGTGTTGTTGTTTGTTTCCCAGAAGTGATTTGATTCTATGGATTCTTCAGTCACATTGAGCTGTTTTCTAACATGCTGTTCCTTTTTTTTTTCTTAGTGTATTTCTGTATTGTTTTAGTGTTTCACCATAGTGAAGGAGTAAGCTACGTTTTTCTGGGTCTGTGTTTTTGGTTGGATTGTTTTCTCAATTTCTTTCTAAGGTTTTTGCATTCTTCATCAAACCATTTCTCATTGTTGTTAGTTTTCTTAGGTTTTCTGCTTGAATATTTAAATGTGATATGTTAGCTGAGAGGTCAAATATACTGTTCATGCTTCCTACTGCTAAGTTTCCACCTTCACTATAGCTGGTCAACATTTTGTCCAGGAAGTTGTCTAGGAGGGATTGGATTTGTTGTTGGCCAATAGTTTTTCGGTAGGTTGTGATTTTGCTGTGGTCTGATAGGTGTGTCAGTTGGCTGACTGTGAACGCTCTGAGAGACTCTGGGTTGAAGTCAGTGATGAAGTAGTCTACAGTACTACTGCCAAGAGATGAACTGTAGGCTGGTGTACCTACCGTATGAGTACCATTGACTATGTACAGACCCAGTTTGCAACAGCTGCTGGAATTGTGACCCTCATTTTTGCCTCATATGACATTACAGTAGGCTACCGGTAGCCTGTATCAATTACGCTTTTCAGACAATGGAATGTGGCCCCTTGAAAGCTCTACAACCTCCATAGAGGATGACCTTTCCTCACAGGAAGCGGTGCAGGTCCTAATCCAGGCACTTGTCATCTCCCATCTAGACTACTGCAACTCTCTGTTAGCTTGTCTCCCCGCTTGTGACATCAAACCCCTGCAACTTATCCAGAATGCTGCAGCCCACCTGGTGTTCAATCTTCCCAAGTTCTGGGAGGACCTATATAGGGTGTGGCCAGGGTTGGTTTGGAAGGGGTGTCAACTGGTTGGAGTGGGGATGTGGATAGTGATTAGGTTTAGGTCTAGGAGGGAGTCTGGCAGGTCTGGGTCAGGTGCTCATCTCTCTATTGCTCCTGTGTGAGGTGCTGGGGCTGCGGTTGAGTTCGATGTCTTGGCCTTGTATAGGTGTACCTGGTCGTAGAGGCTCTCCAAATCCAGGGTGGGGTGATGGGCCAGGTAAACATTGGTTTTGAGGCACAGTCACGGGAAATGCTTGTATTCACCCGCTGTATGATGACAGGGTGAAAGTATTTTCGTGGAGGGTGGAGATGACCACTCGTGTGGTAGAGAAAGTGGAAGAAGCTTTTTCAATCACTCCCTTGAGTGCTGTGGCCACCCTTTCCTGCTGGGCCCTCAGGTCGTTTGTGCCTGTGTGAATTATGATGTGGCTGGGGGACCCTAGTCGGTCCTCTGACCGCAGCTCCAGGGCGTGCCACGTGTTTGGAGACCACAGTTTAGCCACTTTGTGTAGGAAAGAGTTTATTTTCCTTAGCAAATTTCCTGTTTAAGTCTATTAGGAGACTGAAAAGATTTGGCATGGGTCCCCAAAAAGTTATACAGCTGCACTATCGAGAGCATCTTGATCGTTAGCATCACCGCCTGTTGTGGCAACTGCTAGGCATTCGACCTTAAGGCGCTACAGAGGGTAGTGCGTACGGCCCAGTACATCACTGGGACCAAGCTTCCTGCCATTCAGGACCTCTATACCAGGCGGTGTCAGAGGAAGGCCCAAAAAAGTGTCAAAGAATCCAGTCACCCAAGTCATAGACTGTTTTCTCTGCTACCGCACGGCAAGCGGTACCGGAGCACCAAGTCTAGGTCCAAAAGGCTCCTTAACAGCATCTATCCCCAAGCCATAAGACTGCTGAACAATTAATCAAATGGCCACCCGGACTAATTACATTGACACCCCCCCCCCCTTTGTTTTTACACTGCTGTCCTTGGCAGTCTTTATCTGCTGGTTGTTGTGTTGCTGGGTAGTCCTTGGCAGTCTTTATCTGCTGGTTGTTGTGTTGCTGGGTAGTCCTTGGCAGTCTTTATCTGCTGGTTGTTGTGTTGCTGGGTAGTCCTTGGCAGTCTTTATCTGCTGGTTGTTGTGTTGCTGGGTAGTCCTTGGCAGTCTTTATCTGCTGGTTGTTGTGTTGCTGGGTAGTCCTTGGCAGTCTTTATCTGCTTGTTGTTTTGTTGCTGGGTAGTCCTTGGCAGTCTTTATCTGCTGGTTGTTGTGTTGCTGGGTAGTCCTTGGCAGTCTTTATCTGCTTGTTGTTTTGTTGCTGCGTGGTCCTTGGCAGTCTTTATCTGCTGGTTGTTGTGTTGCTGGGTAGTCCTTGGCAGTCTTTATCTGCTAGTTGTTGTGTTGCTGGGTAGTCCTTGGCAGTCTTTATCTGCTGGTTGTTGTGTTGCTGGGTAGTCCTTGGCAGTCTTTTTCTGCTAGTTGTTGTGTTGCTGGGTAGTCCTTGGCAGTCTTTAACAGTAAGAGTCCTTTCCAGGTATTTTTGTCCAAATTCAAGGTTGTACGCTTGAGTTCCGTTAACACCATCTCTCTCTCTCTGTGTGTTTGTGTCCTCTAGACCTTTATATTGAGTTCTGTTAACACCATCTCTCTCTCTCTGTGTTTGCGCCTTCAAGACCTTTTATATTGAGTTCTGTTAACACCATCTCTTTCGCTCTCTCTCGCTGTTTGTGTCCTCTATACCTTTATATTGAGTTCCGTTAACACCATCTCTCTCTCTCTCTCTCTCTCTCTCTCTCTCTCTCTCTGTGTGTTTGTGTCCTCAAGACCTTTATATTCACAGATGGGGAGGATCAGGAGCTGAGGAGGAGAGCAGGTAAAACAATACACTCTTCAGGTGGACAATGGAAGTACAAATAGGAGAGCAATTATTGTGTCACTGTACCTTTGTGATTGATGTTCTTAGAGAGACTTATAATATGTTATCAGGCATATGTGCATTTGATACTCCGTTATAAAGGTCTCAGTAGTAAGATAAGTGGGCTCAGCACCGTTTCTCTTTCTCTCTGTCAGGTGCTAACGTCGTCAACACCAACTGTTCAGCAGTACACACGCGGCAGGCCCTGTGCTGTAAGATGTCTGTGGAATACGACAAGTTCATCGAGTCACAGAGGAAGTGAGTGTTCAGTCACACTTTACCTTACTGCCTGTGTAATCGGTGGGATTTGAACCTAGGTCTCCCACGGGAGAAACCCACGTCTTGACCATTACACCAAAAGGAAATTCCCTCTTGGGACGACCACTGATTTTGATGTCGCTGGCGGGGCTACCTCATCACGTGACCATGAGCAACCATGTCTGCTACACCTGCTATTCCCCATCACATTGCATGCTAAGAACTTAACTATAGATGAAGTCATTTATTATAATCGGCCAATAAGTAGCCAATTCAGAAGAAGTGAATGTTTTCTCCTGCCCTGATCAGAGACCTGAAGTAGTCCCACTTGCTTGGTGTTTAAAGCCCAGTGCAGTCAAAACTGGATTTTCTGGTGTTTTATATATACTGTATTTCCCATACTATGAGGTTGGAATAATACTGTGAAATTGTAAAATGTTTGAAAAGACTGCCTGAAATTTCAGCCTGTTTTGGTGGGATGGAGTTTTGGCCTGACTGGTGACATCACCAAGCGGTAAATTAGTTAATAGACCAATAAAAAGAGTTCCAAACCTCTCTGCCAAAAACAGATCGTTTTCAGTTCCCCTCCCAACTCGGACCACTCCTAGACAGTCCTAGCAACATTCTTGCTTGTGAAATGGCTCTTTGGTAAGAAGCTATTCTGGTTTCCCTTTGACCTTTTTAATTGAAAACAATCACAGTAAGGTACTTAATAGTTACCCAGAAATTATTTTATATTGAGATAAAAACGGCTGCATCGGACCTTTAACCCTGCTGCCTTTGTCAAGAGTACTGAGCCCCCCAGTTTCAGCAGACTGCCTGTCTTATGTAAAGAAATACAGCTATTTCTTTACTGCTGAGATGAGGCCTTTTTTGAGAGTACATCTCACACATAGACATACATTGTATATACAAAAGTATGTGGACACCCCTTCAAATTAGTGGATTCAGCTATTTCAGCCACACCCATTGCTGACAGGTGTATAAAATCGAGCACCCACTGCTAGAGCTGCCCCGGTCAACTGTAAGTGCTGTTATTGTGAAGTGGAAACGTCTAGGAGCAACAACGGCTCAGCCGCAAAGTGGTAGGCCACACAAGCTCACAGAACAGGACCGCCGAGTGCTGAAGCGCTTAGCTCGTAAAAAATAATCTGTCCTCGGTTGCAACACTCACTACCGAGTTCCAAACTGCCTCTGGAAGCAACATCGGCACAATAATTGTTTGTTGGGAGCTTCATGAAATGGGTTTCCATGGCCGAGCAGCCGCACACAAGTCTAAGATCACCATGCGCAATGCTAAGCGTCGGCTAGAGTGGTGTAAAGCTCGCCACCATTGGACTTTGGAGCAGTGGAAACATGATCTCTGGAGTGATGAATCACACTTCACCATCTAGCAATCCGACGGACGAATCTGGGTTTGGTGGATGCCAGGAGAATGCTACCTGCCCCAATGCATAGTGCCGACTGTAGAGTTTGGTGGAGGAGGAATAATGGTCTGGGGCTGTTTTTCATTGTTCGGGCTAGGCCCCTTAGTTCCAGTGAAGGGAAATCTTAACGCTACAGCATACAATGACATTTTAGACGATTCTGTGCTGTCACGCTTGTTGAATGACGGGTCAGACCAAGGCGCAGCGTGATATGCATACATGTTTATTTTAACTGAATAAACACCACGACAAAACAATAAATGAAACGAAACGTGAAGTCCAAGGTAGTACAGAAAACAAACCTTACACGGAACAAGATCCCACAACTAGACAGTGCCAATAGGCTGCTTAAGTATGGGCCCCAATCAGAGACAACGAGCGACAGCTGCCTCTGATTGAGAACCACACCGGCCAACATAGAACTAGACATACTAGATCCTCATACATAGAACAAGCACAACAAGGAATATACACACCCTGACTCAACATATAAGCGTCCCCTGAGTCAGGGCGTGACGTGCTTCCAACTTTGTGGCAACAGTTTGGGGAAGGCCCTTTCCTGTTTCAGCAAGACAATGCCCCCGTGCACAAAGCGAGGTCCATACAGAAATGGTTTGTCGACATCGGTGTGGAAGAACTTGACTGGCCTGCACTGAGCCCTGACCTCAACCCCATTGAACACCTTTGGGAGGAATTGGAACGCCGACTGCGAGCCAGGCCTAATCGCCCAACATCAGTGCCCAACCTCACTAATGCTCTTGTGGCTGAATGGAAGCAAGTCCCTGCAACAATGTTTCAACATCTAGTGGAAAGCCTTCCCAGAAGAGTGGATGCTGTTATAGCAGCAAAGGAGGGACTAACTCCATATTAAAGCCCATGATTTTGAAATGAGATGTTCGATGAGCAGGTGTCCACATACTTTTGGTCATGTAGTGTATGTCTTAGATTCTCTGTATGTTTGGTTAAGGAGGTCAACAGTTGAATAGGACTGTATGTCTCCACATACCTCTGCCAATCACAGGCCTATTTGAAAACATGGACACATTCGTTCCAGTCCCATGTCCTGTATTTGTTCCAGTCCCATGTCCTGTATTTGTTCCAGTCCCAAGTCCTGTATTTGTTCCAGTCCCATGTCCTGTATTTGTTCCAGTCCCATGTCCTGTATTTGTTCCAGTCCCATGTCCTGTATTTGTTCCAGTCCCAAGTCCTGTATTTGTTCCAGTCCCATGTCCTGTATTTGTTCCAGTCCCATGTCCTGTATTTGTTCCTGTCACATGTACTGTATTTATTCCAGTATTTGTTACTTCTATACATTGATGAACACCATCACTGTTGTGATAATGTGATGTTAACAACTTAACATGTCAGTAACACTTCATAACATTTATCTATAACAACTTTATAGTAACTGTATTTATGTAATAGCTTGCATCCCCCCCCCCCCCCCAGGTGGTTCTGCCATATGGATGATGATAACTATGTGATTGTACCCAGTCTGCTGAAGCTGCTGTCCTCCTACCACCACACCCAGGATGTTTACCTGGGCCGGCCCAGCCTCGACCACCCCATAGAGGCCGCAGAGAGGGTCAAGAGTGACGGATCTGTGAGTACATCCAGTGTCTGTATGTCTGTCTGTCTCTCTCTTTCTCCATCCCTTCTGTCGTTCTGTCTATACCTCCCTTCCTGTCTCTCTCTTTCTCCATTCCTTCTATCTGTCGTTCTGTCTATACCTCCCTTCCTGTCTCTCTCTTTCTCCATTCCTTCTATCTGTCGTTCTGTCTATACCTCCCTTCCTGTCTCTCTCTTTCTCCATTCCTTCTATCTGTCGTTCTGTCTATACCTCCCTTCCTGTCTCTCTCTTTCTCCATTCCTTCTATCTGTCGTTCTGTCTATACCTCCCTTCCTGTCTCTCTCTTTCTCCATTCCTTCTATCTGTCGTTCTGTCTATACCTCCCTTCCTGTCTCTCTCTTTCTCCATCCCTTCTATCTGTCGTTCTGTCAATACCTCCCTTCCTGTCTCTTTCTTTCTCTCTATCCCTCTCTTGTTCTCTTACTTCTGACCTCTGACCCTTGTTTTCTTCTCCCAGGTGTCAGTGAGGTTCTGGTTCGCTACAGGAGGAGCAGGGTTCTGTATCAGTCGTGGTCTGGCCCTCAAGATGAGTCCATGGGCTAGGTGAGTTTGAACAGTTCAACATTTTCAATGTTCTTCAGATGCCCATATTATTGTGGCTGTTTAAAGGGTAATTTAAATGTAAATGCAGAAATGTAGATTTCAGCCTAAATAGACACACCCAAAAATAACTACTTTTAATGAACAGTTATATGATAAGGACATACATAAACTTGGTATCACACCTGGGAGATAAGGAAATTGTCAGAACATAGGAATGGCACAGTTCAGATCACACAAGATCAAACACACACAAAGTAACCTTTTTTAAAAATGTAATCTTTCATGGACAAGCTATAAGTAAATGATCGATGAATAGAGCTGGAAACTCCTCAGATGGCTTCCACAACAACTCAAAAACTTCTGTGGAAAAAATGTGATTGATAGACACAACAGCTATAACTTTATAAACGTTTTAGTAAGGGGTATAAAAACAAAATGTCTACAATATCAACTTCTCTCAAACATTGTGGTTGTGTCAGGGGACATCCAAGTGTCCTTTCAACCTCCCAAACATCATCATCCTCCTCATCCTCCTCAGCATCCTCTCTGTGGGGAATAAAATACAGGAATATAAAGGGATCAGTATTGCAGTTGACAAATCTTACAAAACTACATTATTCTAATATAAAAGCAATATGCTAAAGGCTAACACCCAGCCTAAACTGTGTTACAAATTCCCTGCTGGTGACTTTTAGCATCTCACAGCCCTCTCTCAGAGACTAACTCTGTACATGTCTAACTCCTTCAGTAGGTTCCCCTCCCCCACTGGACATAGCAGGCCAGGGGGGTTGTAGACTGGCCCTTCACAACTCGCCAGGTGAGAGAGCAGCCAAGCTCACCTGTCCACAAAGCATCTCAGAGTAAGAGTGCTGATCTAGGATCAGTTTGGCTTTTTAGATCATAATGAATAAGATTATTTGGACACTGTCTGGAGAGTGGCTCACACAGAGGTGTGAAACACAGACGCACACACACACACACACACAAAGCCACAATGCAAACAGTGGGACACATAAGAGACAAGGGTGGGTGGGGGGTGCTGAGTAGTATTTTTGTTGTAATAATGTGTTGTTTTTGCTCAATCTGATTGGGTGGGCCTGGCAGGGCCTGGCTCCCCAGTGGGTGGGCCTCTGTCCACCCAGGCCCACCCATGCCTACGCCCCTGCTTCCCAGTGGAAAACTAATTTGAAATATATTGCACAAACAGGACACAGTTACATAGGCCTATACTGTGTGTAAGCTATACATACAGTCGTGGTCAAAAGTTTTGAGAATGACACAAATTCTAATTTTCACAAAGTGTGCTGCCTCAGTTTTGATTATGGCAATTTGCATATACTCCAGAATGTCATGAAGAGTGATCAGATGAATTGCAATTAATTGCAAAGTCCCTCTTTGCCATGAAAATGAACTTAATCCCCAAAAAACATTTCCACTGCATTTCAGCCCTGCCACAAAAGGACTAGCTGCCATCATGTCAGTGATTCTCTCGTTAACACAGGTGAGAGTGTTGACGAGGACAAGGCTGGAGATCACTCTGTCATGCTGATTGAGTTAGAATAACAGACTGGAAGCTTTAAAAGGAGGGTGGTGCTTGAAATCATTGTTCTTCCTCTGTTAACCATGGTTACCTGCAAGGAAACACGTGCCGTCATCATTGCTTTGCACAAAAAGGGCTTCACAGGCCAGGACCATCTCCTAAAGTTGATTCAGCTGCGGGATCGGGGCACCACCAGTGCAGAGCTTGCTCAGGAATGGCAGTAGGCAGGTGTGAGTTCATCTGCACGCACAGTGAGGCGAAGACTTTTGGAGGATGGCCTGGAGTTAAGAAGGGCAGCAAAGAAGCCACTTCTCTCCAGGAAAAACATCAGGGACAGACTGATATTCTGCAAAAGGTACAGGGATTGGACTGCTGAGGACTGGGGTAAAGTCATTTTCTCTGATGAATCCCCTTTCCGATTGTTTGGGGCATCCGGAAAACACCTTGTCCGGAGAAGACAAGGTGAGCGCTACCATCAGTCGTGTGTCATGCCAACAGTAAAGCATCCTGAGACCATTCATGTGTGTGGTTGCTTCTCAACCAAGGGAGTGGGCTCGCTCACAATTTTGCCTAAGAACACAGCCATGAATAAAGAATGGTACCAACACATCCTCCGAGAGCAACTTCTCCCAACCATCCAAGAACAGTTTGGTGACTACCAATGCCTTTTCCAGCATGATGGAGCACCTTGCCATAAGGCAAAAGTGATAACTAAGTGGCTCGGGGAACAAAACATCTGAATTTTGGGTCCATGGCCAGGAAACTCCCCAGACCTTAATCCCATTGGTCAATCCTCAAGAGGCGGGTGGACAAACAAAAACCCACATATTCTGACAAACTCCAAGCATTGATTATGCAAGAATGGGCTGCCATCAGTCAGGATGTGGCCTAGAAGTTAATTGACAGCATGCCAGGGCGGATTGCAGAGGTCTTGAAAAAGTAGGGTCAACACTGCAAATATTGACTCTTTGCATAAACTTAATGTAATTGTCAATAAAAGCCTTTGACACTTATGGAATGCTTGCAATTATACTTCAGTATACCATAGTATCATCTGACAAAAATATCTCATAACCCTGAAGCAGCGAACTTTGTGAAGACCAATACTCAAAACCTTTGACCACGACTATTCAGTCCACAAAAAAGACCACAACTATAACAAAACATTACTGTAATGTAAAAGCTATACTAGCCTAAACAAAGCAAACAGTGGGACACAGGTAGCCTACCTTTAGAGACAAAGTAACAATGGCCATGAGAATCTGGTGGCCTCTCCAAAGTTAAACAGAATATATCCAACTTTTAGCAGCAAACTAATGTGAAATATATACAATATGTAAGTACTTTGGAATGATAGACAGGATATAGGCTACACAGGAAAGGACACCGCTATTCTAGAAATACAAAGCACAAAGGAGCAGACCACAACTAGATAAAACATACTAAATACACTGCTCTAAAAAAAAGGGAACACTAAAATAACACATCCTAGATCTGAATGAATGAAATAATCTTATTAAATACTTTTTTCTTTACATAGTTGAATGTGCTGACAACAAAATCACACACAAATTATCAATGGAAATCAAATGTATCAACCCATGGAGGTCTGGATTTGGATTCACCCTCAAAATTAAAGTGGAAAACCACACTACAGGCTGATCCAACTTTGATGTAATGTCCTTAAAACAAGTCAAAATGAGGCTCAATAGTGTGTGTGGCCTCCACGTGCCTGTATGACCTCCCTACAACGCCTGGGCATGCTCCTGATGAGGTGGCGGATGGTCTCCTGAGGGATCTCCTCCCAGACCTGGACTAAAGCATCCGCCAACTCCTGGACAGTCTGTGGTGCAACATGGCGTTGGTGGATGGAGCGAGACAGGATGTCCCAGATGTGCTCAATTGGATTCAGGTCTGGGGAACGGGCGGGCCAGTCCATAGCATCAATGCCTTCCTCTTGCAGGAACTGCTGACACACTCCAGCCACATGAGGTCTAGCATTGTCTTGCATTAGGAGGAACCCAGGGCCAACCGCACCAGCATATGGTCTCACAAGGGGTCTGAGGATCTCATCTCGGAACCTAATGGCAGTCAGGCTACCTCTGGCGAGCACATGGAGGGCTGTGCGGCCCCCCAAAGAAATGCCAACCCACAACATGACTGACCCACAGCCAAACCAGTCATGCTGGAGGATGTTGCAGGCAGCAGAACGTTCTCCACGGCGTCTCCAGACTCTGTCACGTCTGTCACATGTGCTCAGTGTGAACCTGCTTTCATCTGTGAAGAGCACAGGGCGCCAGTGGCGAATTTGCCAATCTTGGTGTTCTCTGGCAAATGCCAAACGTCCTGCACGGTGTTGGGCTGTAAGCACAACCCCCACCTGTGGACGTCGGGCCCTCATACTACCCTCATGGAGTCTGTTTCTGACCGTTTGAGCAGACACATGCACATTTGTGGCCTGCTGGAGGTCATTTTGCAGGGCTCTGGCAGTGCTCCTCCTGCTCCTCCTTGTACAAAGGCGGAGGTAGCAGTCCTGCTGCTGGGTTGTTGCCCTCCTACGGCCTCCTCCACGTCTCCTGATGTACTGGCCTGTCTCCTGGTAGCGCCTCCATGCTCTGGACACTACGCTGACAGACACAGCAAACCTTCTTGCCACAGCTCGCATTGATGTGCCATCCTGGATGAGCTGCACTACCTGAGCCACTTGTGTGGGTTGTAGACTCCATCTCATGCTACCACTAAAGTGAAAGTACCGCCAACATTCAAAAGTGACCAAAACATCAGCCAGGAAGCATAGGAACTGAGAAGTGGTCTGTGGTCACCACCTGCAAAACCAGTCCTTTATTGGGGGTGTCTTGCTAATTGCCTATAATTTCCACCTGTTGTCTATTCCATTTGCACAACAGCATGTGAAATGTATTGTCAATCAGTGTTGCTTCCTAAGTGGACAGTTTGATTTCACAGAAGTGTGATTGACTTGGAGTTACATTGTGTTGTTTAAGTGTACCCTTTATTTTTTTGAGCAGTGTACATACAGTAAAGAAAGTTATACAAAATAATTTACTTACAGATCTAAAACGGAATCTAATCCTTCTAGAAAACATTTTTCTAAGCCCAAGTCATAGTCATCTTGGTCCAGGTTGCTCTCAGCATCTGTGTCTGACTCACGAAACAGTTCCTTCAAAGCCTCTTTCTCTGTATACCTGGTTTTGTCATATTTTTACCCCCCTGTTGGGTAGTTTCCAACTGTTGCATTCGTTAGAATTGTTGTTAAAACCTTTAAAAAATGTTGATGACCGTTGCTACATATACTGTAGATACAGTACACATGAAAACATGAAATGACCTCGGGAATCGATAGAACATCGCTCAGAGATACATAAATACGATATAACATTCAAAATGGGGGAATCTTACCTTTAAGCTATTAAGCCAAACTGTTTTGAGCAGTTCACTCACTACCTCACCTCTTCCCTCCCCTTTCTTCTCTCTCTCCTCCCTCCTTTCTCTCCCTCTCACCCTCTCCACTCCTCCTCCTCCTCCCCCCAGTCTGGGGAACTTCATCAGCACGGCGGAGAAGATCCGTCTCCCTGACGACTGCACCATCGGTTACATCATCGAGGCGCTGCTGGAGGTGAAGCTGACACATACACAGCTCTTCCACTCCCACCTGGAGAACCTGCAGAGGCTGCCCACAGACACCATTCTGGAGCAGGTAGGGGTGGAGGGAGAGAGAGAGAGAGGGAGACAGAGGGAGAGAAAGAGACAACCCTCCTTTGTCTTTTTGTCTGTGATGCATACAACAGCTTCCAATTGTTTTCAGCCATCAAATACAAACTGTGTGTGTGTGTGTGTGTGTGTGTGTGTCTAGGTCACTTTGAGCTACGGGGGTTTTGAGAACAGGAGGAATGTGATCAGCATTGGCGGAGCCTTCTCTCTGGTGGAGGACCCGTCACGGTAAACAGACAAACATTACCCCAACATTCACCCAACATTGTCAGGCACAAGGAAATTACATGACACTGGTTTGCTAAACCTCTGCCTCAGTGCATTTTGCTCTAGCTGAATTGTGAATGACATGTAAATGGTTATCCTCTCTCTCTCCCCCCTCTCTCCCCTCTCTCTCTCTCCCCTCTCTCCCTCCCCTCTCTCCCCCCTCTCTCCCCCCTCTCTCTCCCCCAACTCTTTTCTCTTTGTCTTACCATCTTCCTCTCTCTCTCTCCTCTCTCTCCCCCCTCTTTTCTCTTTGTCTTACCATCTTCCTCTCTCTCCCCCCTCTCTCTCTCTCCTCTCTCTCCCCCCTCTTTTCTCTTTGTCTTACCATCTCCCTCTCTCTCCCTTTCTCCCACTCCATCTCTCCTCTCTCCCTTTCTACCCCTCCATCTCTCCTCTCTCCCTCCATCTCTCCTCTCGGCCTCTCTCTCTAGATTTAAGACTGTCCACTGCCTCCTCTACCCAGAGACTGACTGGTGTCCTAGTAAGGGTCACCATTGATGGCCACTACAGTACAGCATATCTACAATACTTCCTACCAGCCTGGTTGACTGGTGTCCCCATGTATGCTAGCTATGGCAATATAATGACAAGGCCAAAACAGGTTCACTGGCACCCAGGCTAACCCTACAGAACCACTTCACTCAGACGCTTGTAACGCCAAGGTAGTGGGTTCGATCCCCGGGACCACCCATACACAAAAATGTATGCACGCATGACTGTAAGTCGCTTTGGATAAAAGCGTCTGCTAAATGGCATATTATTATTATATTATTATATATAAAACAGGTTCACTGGCACCCAGGCTAACCCTACAGAACCACTTCACTGAGATAAAACAGGTTCATTGGCACCCAGGCTAACCCTACAGAACCACTTCACTCAGATAAAACAGGTTCACTGGCACCCAGGCTAACCCTACAGAACCACTTCACTCAGATAAAGCAGGTTCACTGGCACCCAGGCTAACCCTACAGAACCACTTCACTCAGATAAAACATGTTCACTGGCACCCAGGCTAACCCTACAGAACCACTTCACTCAGATAAAACAGGTTCACTGGCACCCAGGCTAACCCTACAGAACCACTTCACTCAGATAAAACAGGTTCACTGGCACCCAGGCTAACCCTACAGAACCACTTCACTCAGATAAAACAGGTTCACTGGCACCCAGGCTAACCCTACAGAACCACTTAACTCAGATAAAATGGCTAGACGTCTGTGGGTCTTTGAGAGGACATGAGGCGAGACAAGACGAGGTAACTGGAGTGAGGATCACTTTGGTCATGGTGAGATGATGACGAAACATCCCACTACCGTTAGCGGTTGCTGTGGCGATGTTTCACCACTCGTTGCTTTGATTGTAGCTTTAAATCCCAAACGTACTATTGTGGTCCAGAGATGTCTTTTGAAGGAGTGTTTAATGTACTTAAATGACTGTTGAAAAGGTACCTTAAGATGCTGAACAGGGTGAAATGTAAATGTATTTGTTTTTAGGTCTCAAAAATGTACTGGACTGGTGTTTTATTATACAAGGGCTCATGACCAGAATTCATCAGAGATTAATATCTGATATCAGTGTTACAGGAAGACAAAGTTAAAGTAATGCGTGAGAGCCGTTTGTGATTGTTTAACGGAGTTAAGAACATAGCGTAAGCTCACTCCACAGCTAGCTTGAAATGTTGCAGATGGAGCCATCCCATTGGATACTTTTGTATAGGTAAATCGATTGGTACGTTGTCAAGGAGAGCGGTCACGTGTGTTTGCGAGCAGAGGATCACTAGTCCCCCGGTGTGGGGACAGGGACAGTGAAGGAAGCCATACTGTTAGCAGCATACTGACGTCAGTTTCACTTTACAGAGCCTTGTGTGCCCCTCATGTCCTGAAGTAAATTTCTTACCAGAAGAGGTTTCAAACTGGTGTGTGCACATGTGTGTGTGCAACCTAACCACAATCAGAATGATTTTAACATCTTAACAGCCAAAGATGATGCCAGTCAACTAGACTTTGGAAATGCATATGACACATTTATTACAGGAATGAAACTGTGATAGTACTGTATGAATAAAAACGAGTGTGCACCACACACACACACACACACACACACACACACACACACACACAGCCCTGCAGTGAACAAAACCGAATCATTAGAACTCTTTCTTTTTTTTTTGCCTCTAAGTGTTTCCCCCAATGCATGTTACATGTTATTTCTCTGTCAGAAACACTACACGTTTTGCACTCATCTCAATTCCTGTGTATAATATTTAGTTGTATTAAAAGTTCCAGTAGTGTTGTAATGTGTGAGCTTGAGCTGGAAGTACAACATGTATTTTCCTGATGTCTCACGTTCTCCTTTTTTGCACAAAAACACTAGAATCCAAATGCAGAATCTCTCCCCGCTGCAGGTCAGTGGCAGAGAGAGAGAAGAGTCTGACTCAGACTCGAGTCAGGATGTGATTTTTCCTCTCATCTTCTCCTGTCCTCCTTTTTACCATTTATGTATTATTTTGCTCTGTGTTGAATAAAGCATGTTTTGCAGCATTACCAAACAACTCCACTCCTCTCTCGTCCCTTTGCTTCAGATTCATAGTTGATTTTATCAGTCTAATTATTAAGACAATCAAGTACAAACACAGTGATGTACAATAGGATAGTGGACCAATGCTGGTATACTTACTGTTCTTATTACAGAAAATACTAATTAAAGCGGCAGATGTGTTTGAGGTAACATAATCTGCTTGGTTCTCACCCTTTGGAACAACATGTGCTTGGCCCATGAAGTTTGTCAGTGAGCTAATGCAGTGTTTCCCAACTCCCCAACAGTACACATTAACATTGTAACCCTGGACAAACACACCTGATTCAACTTGTCAATCAATCATCAAGCCTTACCCCTATACATATCTACCTCTATCACTCCAGTATCCCTGCACATTGTAAATATGGTACTGGAACTGACCCTGTATATAGTCACCTTACCCCTATACAGTGAGGGAAAAAAGTATTTGATCCGCTGCTGATTTTGTACGTTTGCCCACTGACAAAGACATGATCAGTCTATAATTTTAATGGTAGGTTTATTTGAAAGTGAAAGACAGAATAACAACAAAGAAATCCAGAAAAACGCATGTCAAAAATGTTATAAATTGATTTGCATTTTAATGAGGGAAGTAAGTATTTGACCCCCTCTCAATCGGAAAGATTTCTGGCTCCCAGGTGTCTTTTATACAGGTAACGAGCTGAGATTAGGAGCACACTCTTAAAGGGAGTGCTCCTAATCTCAGTTTGTTACCTGTATAAAAGACACCTGTCCACAGAAGCAATCAATCAATCAGATTCCAAACTCTCCACCATGGCCAAGACCAAAGAGCTCTCCAAGGATGTCAGGGACAAGATTGTAGACCTACACAAGGCTGGAATGGGCTACAAGACCATCGCCAAGCAGCTTGGTGAGAAGGTGACAACAGTTGGTGCGATTATTCGCAAATGGAAGAAACACAAAATAACTGTCAATCTTCCTCGGCCTGGGGCTCCATGCAAGATTTCACCTCGTGGAGTTGCAATGATCATGAGAACAGTGAGGAATCAGCCCAGAACTACACGGGAGGATCTTGTCAATGATCTCAAGGCAGCTGGGACCATAGTCACCAAGAAAACAATTGGTAACGCACTACGCTGTGAAGGACTGAAATCCTGCAGCGCCCGCAAGGTCCCCCTGCTCAAGAAAGCACATATACAAACATGGAGGTGGAAACATTATGCTTTGGGGGTGTTTTTTGCTAAGGGGACAGGACAACTTCACCGCATCAAAGGGATGATGGACGGGGCCATGTACTGTCAAATCTTGGGTGAGAACCTCCTTCCCTCAGCCAGGGCATTGAAAATGGGTCGTGGATGGGTATTCCAGCATGACAATGATCCAAAACACACGGCCAAGGCAACAAAGGAGTGGCTCAAGAAGAAGCACATTAAGGTCCTGGAGTGGCCTAGCCAGTCTCCAGACCTTAATCCCATAGGAAATCTGTGGAGGGAGCTGAAGGTTCAAGTTGCCAAACGTCAGCCTCGAAACCTTAATGACTTGGAGAAGATCTGCAAAGAGGAGTGGAACAAAATCCCTCCTGAGATGTGTGCAAACCTGGTGGCCAACTACAAGAAACGTCTGACCTCTGTGATTGCCAACAAGGGTTTTGCCACCAAGTACTAAGTAATGTTTTGCAGAGGGGTCAAATACTTATTTCCCTCATTAAAATGCAAATCAATTTATAACATTTTTGACATGCGTTTTTCTGGATTTTTGTTGTTGTTATTCTGTCTCTCACTGTTCAAATAAACCTACCATTAAAATTATAGACTGATCATTTCTTTGTCAGTGGGCAAACGTACAAAATCAGCAGGGGATCAAATACTTTTTTCCCTCACTGTATCTACCTCAATCACTCCAGTATCCTTGCACATTGTAAATATGGTACTGGAACTGACCCTGTATATAGTATGCTTACTTACTTTCTTGTGTTCTTCCTATTTTTATTTATTGTGTGTTTTTGTTCTACCTTATGTAATTTCTGGTATTACATTTATTGATTACTGCATTGTTGGGTTTAGAGCTTGAATGAAAGGCATTCACTGTACTTGTGCACATGACATTAAAACTTGAAACTTGATTCAACTCAAGGGATTCAAGTGTGCTTGTCCAGGGCCACACCAAAAAAAAGTGTTTTGTTGGGTGTTCTTAAGAACTGGAGTTGGGAAACACTGAGTTAATGCATCGAGGCCTATGTAATGTTTGTTTGACTGGAACATAATGGCCCAGATGGCATTAGATTAATGCCTGAATACATCACTCTCCCTTTTACCCTATCACAAACTGCCATCAATCCAACCTCATTTTCAGCAGTGTGGAACGATTACTCTGAGATAATTACTTTATGCACTGGGGTAGTAATTTCTCTCTCACGAGCTAGGTTTCCATCCAATTGGCCACAGATTTTCATGTGAATATTCTAAAATTGGCATAAAGACAATATGCACATTTCCATCAAATTGACTTGCTGCGGGTGAACGTTTGTGCGTGATGACGTAGTGCACATAAAAATACCCTTTGCAGTTACATTTCCATGTACTGAATAAAAAATAGAAGTGAAATATACTTCCATCGCGTTTTCTACTGGTGGTTTTCTCACAAAAAATGTTGGGTTCTATAGCGAGTGCTCCCACTCACATGGCACATGCGCTGTTGCCAACAACTGGCAGATGCAGTGTGGGTATAGCCTACAGGATGATATTATTATGGACAAAAGAGCGAGGTTATTGTTATTTGTTAAACGGCAGCCAAACATTAATGATAATATCACCAAAATAAAACCACCCATAGTTATTGGAAAGGAGCATCAAGCACCTTGCACTTTCACCACCCTGTGAAGTTCATAATGTATTTAATCTGTAGCCTAATAAACTGCGTGGTTTCCCGAGTCTTACTTGGAGGACTAAAAACCATATCATCTTGTGACTCCCAAATGTACTTTGTTATGATGGTTATTATATCAATATTTGCGCATTAATGCATTTCCACCACCATTTCTCGCATAATTAAATTTACAGACAAAAAAAGATCCCATCATGTCGATCAAACAAATTATCTGTCTGCATTTATAAAATTGTACCGAAACTTTTCCATAAAATAAAAGCTGTGGTGATTTTTTTTATAACTGTGTGTGGATGAAAATGTAATTAGTGAGACGATTGCTCATGGCCCGTTTTCATAAATCATGTCAGAGTAGGATTGCTGATCTAGGATCAGTTTAGCCTGAATAATTAATAAAACAGGTGGGGACCTGATCCTAGATCAGCATTTCTATTCTAAGAGATACAGCTCGTTTTAGCATAGATGTTGCCATGCTTCTGCCATTTTAAAGGTCATGAACAGTCAAAATCATGTTTTTCATGAAATTTGATGATATTTGAATAAACTAGATCAAAGTATGATGACCAAAGTATGAAAAATGACTGTTGCTTCTACATTGATAAAGGTTGATCATAAAGTTACTGGTCCCATCCCCCATGTCAAACACTTGGATTCATTATTAATAAGGTGATATCACCCTAACTCTAACTAATACACCAATGGTAAAATGATATTCTCTTACCTAATTGAAATAAGTACCGCCTTGTAACCAACATCGGAGAAGGCGTGTTTGCAGAGGGGCGTGGTTTATATAGCTAGATAGCTACTCTACTGCTGGCAAAATTTGACTGTAGGGTGTCAGCAAATATTTACTGAACAAAAATATAAACGCAACATGTAAAGTGTTGGTCCCATGTTTCATGAGCTGAAATAAAAGATCCCAGAAATCTTCCATACGCACAAAAATCAAATATATCTCAAATTTTGGGCACAAATTTGTTTACATCCCTGTTAGTGAGCATTTCTCCTTTGCCAAGATAATCCATCCACCTGACAGGTGTGGCATATCAAGAAGTTGATTAAACAGCATAATCATTACACAGGTTCACCTTGTGCTGGGGACAATAAAGGCCACTCTAAAATGTGCAGTTTTGTCACACAACACAATGCTACAAATGTCTGAAGTTTTGAAGGAGCATGCAATTGGCATGCTGACTGCAGGAATGTCCACCAGAGCTGTTGCCAAAGAAGTGAATGTTAATTTCTCTACCATAAGCCGCCTCCAACGTTGTTTTAGAGAATTTGGCAGTACGTCCAACCGGCCTCACAACCGCAGACCACGTGTAACTACGCCAGCCCAGGACCACCACATCCGGCTTCTTCACCTCAGCTTCTTCACCTGCGGGATCGTCTGAGACCAGCCACCCGGACAGCTGATGAAACTGAGGAGTATTTATGTCTGTAATAAAGCCCTTTCGTGGGGAAAAACGAATTCTGATTGTCTGGGCCTTGCTTCCCAGTGCCCTCCCAGGCCCACCCATGGCTGCGCCCCTGCCCAGTCATGTGAAATCCATAGATTAGGGCCTAATTTATTTATTTAAATTGACTGATTTCCTTATAAGAACTGTAACTCAGTTAAATTGTTGAAATGGTTGCATGTTGCGTTTATATTTTTGATCAGTACAATTAAAAGTTTACCCTATTAATCTATGGCAAAGATACTTATATGTTTCCCCTTTCATCTGTGTTTGGTGTTAGCTAGTTACGGCTAGCTAGGTCTTCATCTGTGTCTGGTGTTAGCTAGTCACTGGCTAGCTAGGTCTTCATCTGTGTCTGGTGTTAGCTAGAACCTGGCTAGCTAGGTCTTCATCTGTGTCTGGTGTTAGTCTCCCGAGTGGCACAGTGGTCTAAGGCTGTGCCACTAGAGATCCTGGTTCGAATCCAGGCTCTGTCGTAGCCGGCCGCGACCGGGAGACCCATGGGGCGGTGCACAATTGGCCCAGCGTCGTCCAGGGTAGGGGAGGGAATGGCCGGCAGGGATGTAGCTCAGTTGGTAGAGCATGGCGTTTGCAACGCCAGGGTTGTGGGTTCGATTCCCACGGGGGGCCAGTATGAATAAAATAATAATGTATGCACTCACTAACTGTAAGTCGCTCTGGATAAGAGCGTCTGCTAAATGACTAAAATGTAAATGTAAAAAAATGTAAATGGTGTTAGCTAGTCACTGGCTAGCTAGGTCTTCATCTGTGTCTGGTGTTAGCTAGTCACTGGCTAGCTAGGTCTTCATCTGTGTCTGGTGTTAGCTAGTTACCGGCTAGCTAGGTCTTCATCTGTGTCTGGTGTTAGCTAGTTACCGGCTAGCTAGGTCTTCATCTGTGTCTGGTGTTAGCTAGTCACTGGCTAGCTAGGTCTTCAGCCAGCATGGAACTAAATGGGGGGAACATCAGTGATGCTTTGAACCACATCACAAGAGACATGCCAAACTGGAGATAATACAATATGTCATTGATGCAATTTCAATGTTGTTTGAGTTGCTTTGTGTATCACCACATTTGCTTGAGATGATTATACTCCAACACTGCCACTACATTTCTTGACATAGGCGTTTCAAAGAGCTGTCAGTCAAGGCGAGCTCATGAATATAAGCTTCCCGCCCACTCAGCCTGTCTTTTCCAACTTCCTGGTAGTTAGCCAGAATTACTGTTCAGGACCTTCAAAATAGTAAACTGGGTGGGGATTCCTATGGGTTGTAGTCTCAATGGTGCTGCCCATGCTGTCACATGCGCTATAATGGCACAGATATAAATATGTCCAATATCTATCTCTATGACGTAGACCCCAGCACAACAATGACTCAACTGGCTGCTAGTGCATGATCCCTGCCTGCCTTGAAGAGACTGGGGAAATTAAATGATATGTGGAGCAGCATGCATCATTATCATCAGTGTCTTCTTCCGCTAGCTAGATTATTAAATATAGAAGAAAAAAAATATTTGTATCTAAAATCTAACCCCCCCCCCCCAAAAAAAAACAAAATGTGGGTTAATCTTAGAATAGATTTACAACATTGCAAAGTCTATACACATGAAAAATATTTCTATAATGTATTGTAATATTTAGTGAATTTGATGTTGGTTGTTGAATAATCTGTTCTATGATGTAAGAACTTTAACTTGGAACAGTTACATTTTTGTCCATTATCTTTTTGTGTAACTTTGTTTCCTGCGAGAGGAGCAGTCCTAAACTGAATTTCTCCCTACATACCACATCCGCAAGGAAAGACGGAATAAATTACTTTATAGACCTCAATAATGTTGCACTGTTCATACAACAATTCGATTGAAGAAGATTTACTTTAACGCGACATTTCTAACGATTTGAAAGTGAGGAGGGCCTGTAGTATCGATTTCACTGTTGGGAGATTGTCTCTTTTGTTGCACGATACATTGTGTCTCGCTCCCTTCTGTGCAACATTTAGCTGAGTTCAGAGGACTCGGGCCGTAAATTCGCCGTGAAGGTCTGAAGAACCATGGAAATATATTTTGCAGGCAAGCGGGTCCTAGTCACCGGAGAAGGAAAAAGACAACTACCACCATATTTAAAGATACAGTGACACCGTCTGGTTTGCAGCAACAACACATCCAAATGCACTTACAACAAGTAAACCAAACTTCTCCATCTCGTTTTGAGCACAAACTAAGAGTCATCCATTGTGTCCTGAAAGAACCACTGCCTTCATTACAGTGTGTGTGTGTGTGTCTGTGTGACCGAAGAGCCTAAACAAGAAACGGAATGTGTGTGTCAGGTTGGCCGTCACACTGAGAACTCTGGTGAATAATGAGCATTGTGTTTATGAATATTTTCACACAGGCATCGGTGGGCCCCAGCACTCGCTCTGGCGTGCTGCAGGGCAGAGGTCATGGCTGTCACAAGCACGCAGGCTGACCTGGAAAGCATTCTGCTGGAGGTACCCCTCCCCCTGCACCACCCATTGCTTGCTCTATTGTCCCTCTTTAGGACCTCTCCTCTCCACCAGCCCTATACACATACCATCAGAGGCTGACTAGTTTCCCCGCTGCTCTCTTCATCTCCCATTGTTTCTGCTCCACTACATGATGAGAGATGATGAGAGATTCGTTGTGGTGATTCTCCTCTCTGTGTGATTGGTTCTGGTGGTCCGTTCTCTCTGTGTGATTGGTTCTGGTTGTCCGTTCTCTCTGTGTGATTGGTTCTGGTGTCTGGTGCTGGTTGTTCCCTGCGGTGTCCGTCAATCAGGCCGGTGTGTGTGGACCTAGGGGACTGGGGGGCCACAGAGGAGGCGCTACGGGAGGCTGGTGGTAACCTGAATCTCCTGGTGAATAACGTGGCCTGCGTCATGCTGGAGCCCTTCCTAGAGGTCACCCCCGACCAGTTTGACATGTAAAGAAGCTCTCTTCGCTGTCCTTTGATTCATGTATTGATTCATATTCATTAAAGTGAAACACAAGTGTCACGCCCTGGCTCTGGGGACTCTAATATGTTGAGCCAGGGTGTGTAAAGTCTATGTGTTTTGTTCTAGGTTTCACATTCTAATATTGTTGTTCTATGTTGGCCAATGTGGTTCTCAATCAGAGGCAACGTGATTCAGCTGTTGCTTGTTGTCTCTGATTGAGAACCATACTTTAGCAGCCTGTTTCCCCACAGAGTTTTTGGGATCTTGTTTCTAGTCTGTTGTGTTAGACCGTGAACTGTCACGTTTTCGTTTTGTTGGTTTTGATCGTGTCTCTAATAAAGAGTATGTTTGCCTGCAACGCTGCGCCTTGGTCCTCCTCTGTTCCCGACGAGCGTGACAGAAGATCCCACCTGAACTGGACCAAGCAGCGGGTCGAGGAGCCATCGCCAGGGAAATCCCTAGCGGATATCCAGCGCCTCCTCGACTGGGTCAAGCCGGGTGAGGAAGAGAGGGGCCTGACGTGGAGGCAGAAGGGCGAAAGGCTGGCGAGAAGCATGGAGACCTGGTCCACGGGTAGGAGTGAAGCCCATACATTTTTTAGGGGGGGGCTAACGCCGTGGACGACGGGGCAGCAGGAGGCCGCCAGGTTACGGGAGTCACTGGTTACCAGGGGGAAGGAGGATGTAGAGGCACAGCGAGAGGTACTGGCGTGTGTTGCCAGTCCGGTCCGGCCTGTTCCTGATCCCCACGTAGGGCCAGTGGTGTGTGTTCCCAGTACGGTCCGGCCTGTTCCTGCCACTCGCACCAAGTCTGTGGTGCGCGTCGCCAGCCCAGTCCGGCCCATTCCTGCTCCCCGCACCAAGTCAGTGGTGCGTTTCGTCAGCCCTGTCCGGCCCGTTCCTGCTCCCCGCACCAAGTCAGTGGTGCGCGTCGTCAGCCCGGTCCGGCCCATTCCTGCTCCCCGCACCAAGTCAGTGGTGCGTTTCGTCAGCCCAGCTCGGCCCGTTCCTGCTTGGTGCGCTTCGTCAGCCCGGCACGGCCCGTTCCTGCTCCCCGCACCAAGTCGGTGGTGCGTTTCGTCAGCCCGGCTCGGCCCGCTCCTGCTCCCCACACCAAGCCAGTGGTGTGCGTCGTCAGTCCGGCACGGCCCGTGCCTGTTCCACCGGTGGCTGGTCCGGCACCGGTCAGATGCTTCACGCCGGAGCTAGAGCAATCCGCTCCACCAGTGTGCAGTCCAGCTCCGGCCAGCGGGGCCAGACCGGACCAGGGGTACTTTGGGGGGTTGGAGAGGGAGCGGGGATCAGGCCCGGAGCCGGATCCGCCGCCTAAGCGGAGTGCCCACCCGGTCCCTCCCCTGTGGTATTTGGTGGGCGTGGTCGGAGTCCGCGCCTTTAGGGGGGGGGTACTGTCACGCCCTGGCTCTGGGGACTCTAATATGTTGAGCCAGGGTGTGTAAAGTCTATGTGTTTTGTTCTAGGTTTCACATTCTAGTATTGTTGTTCTATGTTGGCCAGTGTGGTTCTCAATCAGAGGCAACGTGATTCAGCTGTTGCTTGTTGTCTCTGATTGAGAACCATACTTTAGCAGCCTGTTTCCCCACAGAGTTTGTGGGATCTTGTTTCTAGTCTGTTGTGTTAGACCGTGAACTGTCACGTTTTCGTTTTGATCGTGTCTCTAATAAAGAGTATGTTTGCCTGCAACGCTGCGCCTTGGTCCTCATCTCTGTTCGACGATCGTGACAACAAGTCACTCAAGACAAGGTATAAGGACTTTGATTTAGACCTACAGTGGCTTGTGAAAGTATTCACCCCCCTTGGCATTTTTCCTATTTTTTTGCCTTACAACCTGGAATTAAAATGGATTTTTGGGGGGTTTGTATCATTTGATTTACACAACATGCCTAATACTTTGAAGATGCAAAATATTTTTTTTGTGAAACAAACAAGAAATAATACAGAAAAACAGAAAACTACAGCGTGCATAACTAATCACCCCCCAAAGCCACCTTTTGCAGCAATTACAGCTGCAAGTCTCTTGGGGGTATGTCTCCATAAGCTTGACACATCTAGCCACTGGGACTTTTGCCCATTCTTCAAGGCAAAACTGCTCCAGCTCCTTCAAGTTGGATGGGTTCCGCTGGTGTACAACAATCTTTAAGTCATACCACAGATTCTCAATTGGATTGAGGTCTGGGCTTTGACTAGGCCATTCCAAGACATTTAAATGTTTCCCCTTAAACCACTCGAGTGTTGATTTAGCAGTATGCTAAAGGTCTCTTTGTTGCCTCTCTGATTATTGCCCTCCTTGCATGGTCCATGAGTTTTTGGCAGGTTTGTTGTGGTGCCATATTCTTAAAAATTTTTAATAATTGATTTAATGGTGCTCCATGGGATGTTCAAAGTTTCGGATATTTTTTATAACCCAACCCTGATCTTTTGATTGGTACTGTATATGCATGTATTAGACCTACAGTACATGTATTAGACCTGTATTTTAGACCTACAGTTGAAGTCGGAAGTTTATTTACACCTTAGCCAAATACATTTAAACTCTGTTTTTCACAATTCCTGACATTTAATCCTCGTAGAACTTCCCTGTCTTAGGTCAGTTAGGATCACCACTTTATTTTAAGAACGTGAAATGTCAGAATAATAGTAGAGAGTGATTTATTTCAGCTTTTATTTATTTAATCACGTTCCCAGAAGTTTATATACACTCAATTAGTATTTGGTAGCATTGCCTTTTAATTGTTTAACTTGGGTCAAACGTTTCGGGTATCCTTCCACAAGCTTCCCACAATAAGTTGGGTGAATTTTGGCCTATTCTTCCTGACAGAGCTGGTGTAACTGAGTCAGGTTTGTAGGCCTCCTTGCTCGCACACGCTTTTTCAGTTCTGCCCACACATTTCTATAGGATTGAGGTCAGGGCTTTGTGATGGCCACTCCAATACCTTGACTTTGTTGTCATTAAGCCATTTTGCCACAACTTTGGAAGTATGCTTGGGGTCATTGTCCATTTGGAAGACCCATTTGCGACCAAGTTTTAACTTCCTGACTGATGTCTTGAGATGTTGCTTCAATATATCCTCATAATTTTCCTTCCTCATGATCCCATCTATTTTGTGAAGTGCACCAGTCCCTCCTGCAGAAAAGCACCCCCACAGCATGATGCTGCCACCCCTGTACTTCACGGTTGGGATGGTGTTCTTCGGCTCGCAAGTACCCCCTTTTTCCTCCAAACATAACAATGGTCATTATGGCCAAACAGTTCTATTTTTGCAAACCGTAGTCTAGCTTTTTTATGGCGGTTTTGGAGCAGTGGCTTCTTCCTTGCTGAGCGGCCTTTCAGGTAATGTCGATATAGGACTCGTTTTACTGTGGATATAGATACTTTTGTACCTGTTTCCTCCAGCATCTTCACAAGGTCATTTGCTGTTGTTTTGGGATTGATTTGCACTTTTCGTACCAAAGTACGTTCATCTCTAGGACACAGAACGCGTCTCCTTCCTGAGCAGTATGACGGCTGCATGGTCCCATTGTGTTTATACTTGCGTACTATTGTTTGTACAGATGAACGTGGTACCTTCAGGCGTTTGGAAATTGCTCCCAAGGATGAACCAGAATTGTGGAGGTCTACAATTTTTTTTCTGAGGTCTTGGCTGATTTCTTTTGATTTTCCCATGATGTCAAGCAAAGAGGCACTGAGTTTGAAGGTAGGCTTTGAAATACATCCACAGGTACACCTCCAATTGACACAAATTATGTCAATTAGCCTATCAGAAGCTTCTAAAGCCATGACATCATTTTCTGGAATTTTCCAAGCTGTTTAAAGGCACAGTCAACTTACTGTATGTAAACTTTTGACCCACTGGAATTGTGATACAGTGAATTATAAGTGAAATAATCTGTCTGTAAACAGTTGTTGGAAAAATTACTTGTGTCATGCACAAAGTAAATGTCCTAACCGACTTGCCAAAACTATAGTTTGTTAACAAGAAATTTGTGGAGTGGTTGAAAAACAAGTTTTAATGACTCCAACCTAAGTGTATGTAAACCTCCGACTTTAACTGTATCAGGTACATGTGTTAGACCTGTGTATTTACAATGGTTTAAATAAACAATCTTTAAACTAGGTTCTATCTAGCGGTACGTCTGTGTTACCTCCAGGTGGCTGTTACACAGCATACATTTTCCAAGCTTAGCCTTGTATCTGGACATTAATATGAATGTCTCATAAATCCCACTAAAATATAGGGAATCCTTCTCCTTCCCAGATCCTTCAACATCAATGTGAAGGTAGCCCTCCATGTCTCTCAGGTAAGAGGAGGCCATCTGAAATGTAATTTGTGCTCTGTAACATAGTTTCTTCATACTCACTGTGCCTTTGTGTGTGTGTGTGTGTGTGTGTGTGTGTGTCTGTTTGTGTGTGTGTGTGTGGGTGCCTCCTGAGTGGCGCAGTGGTCTAAGGCACTGCATCGCAGTGCTAACTGTGCCACTAGAGATCCTGGTTCGTATCCAGGCTCTGTCGCAGCCGGCCGCGACCGGGAGACTCAGGGGCGGCGCACAATTGGCCCAGCGTCGTCCAGGGTAGGGGAGGGAATGGCCGGCAGGGATGTAGCTCAGTTGATAGAGCATGGCGTTTGCAACGCCAGGGTTGTGGGTTCGATTCCCACGGGGGGCCAGTATAAAAAAAATAAAAAAAATAATAATAATGTATTCACTAACTGTAAGTCGCTCTGGATAAGAGCGTCTGCTAAATGACTAAAATGTAAATGTAATGTAAATGTGGTGTGTGTGTGTGGGTGTGTGGGTGCGTGCGTGGGTGGGTGTGTGGGTGCGTGCGTGGGTGGGTGTGTGGGTGCATGTATGCGTGCGCACAAACGCATGTGTGTGTGTAGATCATGTGTGTCTGTAAATCATGGCCCGGGGTCTGAAGGCCAGAGGAAAAGGAGGCTCCAAAGTGAACATCTCCAGCCATGTGTCTCAATGTGCTCTCAGAGAACACATTCTCTACTGTGAGTTATTAACAGACAGAGACACATACGTACTATTGATAAGACTTACAAAGCAGGGTTTTAATTCCCATAACAAGCCAGGATACTCTAATACAGGCCAGGGTTCGACAGAGTACTGCACCTTTTCTTACCAAAAGAGACAACAGAATCCCATCAAAACTCACAGCAGCTCCATTATATCAATTAACTCTAGATATAGTTGCACCTAGATATAGTTATTTGAAAGCCTATGTCTATCATAATGGCATGTTTGTCATTAAGGTGTGTGTGCAGGTGCCACTAAAGGAGCTCTGGACATGCTGACTAAGGTTATGGCCCTGGAGCTGGGACCCTATCAGGTAACTAGCTGGGACCCTATCAGGTAACTAGCTGGGACCCTATCAGGTAACTAACTGGGACCCTATCAGGTAACTAGCTGGGACCCTATCAGGTAACTAGCTGGGACCCTTTCAGGTAACTAACTGGGACCCTATCAGGTAATAATAATAAAATAATAATAATATGCCATTTAGCAGACGCTTTTATCCAAAGCGACTTACAGTCATGTGTGCATACATTTTTACATATGGGTGGTCCCGGGGATCGAACCCACTACCCTGGCGTTACAAGCGCCATGCTCTACCATGGCTCTAACTGGGACCCTATCAGGTAACTAACTGTGACCCTATCAGGTAACTAGCTGGGACCCTATCAGGTAACTAGCTGGGACCCTATCAGGTAACTAACTGGGACCCTATCAGGTAACTAACTGGGACCCTATCAGGTAACTAGCTGGGACCCTATCAGGTAACTAGCTGGGACCCTATCAGGTAACTAACTGGAACCCTATCAGGTAACTAACTGGGACCCTATCAGGTAACTAGCTGGGACCCTATCAGGTAACTAGCTGGGACCCTATCAGGTAACTAGCTGGGACCCTATCAGGTAACTAACTGGGACCCTATCAGGTAACTAGCTGGGACCCTATCAGGTAACTAGCTGGGACCCTATCAGGTAACTAACTGGGACCCTATCAGGTAACTAGCTGGGACCCTATCAGGTAACTAACTGGGACCCTATCAGGTAACTAACTGGGACCCTATCAGGTAACTAACTGGGACCCTATCAGGTAACTAGCTGGGACCCTATCGGGTAACTAACTGGGACACTATCAGGTAACTAACTGGGACACTATCAGGTAACTAGCTGGGACCCTATCAGGTAACTAACTGGAACCCTATCAGGTAACTAGCTGGGACCCTATCAGGTAACTAACTGGGACCCTATCAGGTAACTAACTGGGACCCTATCAGGTAACTAGCTGGGACCCTATCAGGTAACTAACTGGGACCCTATCAGGTAACTAACTGGGAACCTATCAGGTAACTAACTGGGACCCTATCGGGTAACTAACTGGGACCCTATCAGGTAACTAACTGGGACCCTATCAGGTAACTAACTGGGACCCTATCAGGTAACTAGTGGATGGAGCCAGTAGCAGAGAGCGCACATCCAGACACACATGGTTCTGCTCGTCAGACTAGTACATTACATCTCTGTCTGCAACATTTTGAATGCTGCTGATCTGTGTTGATTGATTGACTAGTGTACTAATTGATTTATTGATGTGGTGTACAGGTTGATTAATGTATTGATTGATTAATGTATTGATTGATTTGTATATTGATTGGTTTATTAATTGATGTGGTGTTCTGGTTGCTCGCTTGATCCGTGTGAACAGTGTAAACCCCACAGTGGTGATGACTGAGATGGGGAGGCTGGGCTGGCGCAACCCTGACAAGGCCAATACCATGACCTCACGCATCCCTCTAGTACTAGATGTACTACTCTTTAATAACACAGAATATCTGATCACCCATAGACTACTCAACACAACTCTTTATCATATGATAGCGGCACATGGTGATTACTTTACATGGTGTTACTTTATGCTTGTGCAAGTGTATTATTTTATGATGACCTGTGTGTGTGTGTTCCTTCCTGCCGAGGTGGATGGCGTTGTGAACTCTATCCTCCTGTTCCTGCTCAGTGATAAGAGTTCTATGACCAACGGGGTCACTCTGACTGTGGACAGGGGCTTCCTGGCCTGCTGACCTCTCACCTCCTCACTCTGCCTCCTGATTGGCTGGCGTAGTCATATCCTGTGTTCCATGGTGTCCACTAGTACCTTTTTCATTCCACTTCAACCACTGATTATAGTCAGACTGGATTTAGTTTTATGTTACTGATTACATGTATCACCCAGATCAATAAAACCTTTATGAATATTTATGAGATTCTCTGTTTGTTTTTACCAGATTGTGGTTGCAGATTGTTTGTCTGTGTTCACTTCTAGACAAAGCTGCTGGATAAGACTAGTGTAATGTACAGTATATATGACACAAACAACAATGTTTTTACAAATACACATTTCTATTTATTAGTAGACATCAAAATGTTTCACTGACATGAAGGCATACAAAATCAGATAAACAATTACACCTTCTTATAGTACATTAAAGCTTTCTTCTTAATCAATAACAATGCACTCGAAGCACTTGTTCAGTAGTACTGTATTAATATTTATTTTCAGAATTCAAATCTGACACTGTCAGTATATTAATAACATATATAATTGTAATATTATAACATGGATACTTGAGCATGTCATATAACATGTCTGTGTTCATATCAAAGTTCATCGCTGTATTGGTGTCAGTATCTTCACAGATGACCCATCATTAACATAGAACCCAGCATAGAGGGGCTGAGTGAATGTGGTCTGGACTCTGTGGAGGAGGGTTATAGTGTCAGAGACGCTGTAGAAGGACAGAGTTCCTGCCCTGTGGTCCAGATACACTCCTACTCTGGAGGAGCAGAGGACAGGTATGGCAGTCTGTTTGTTATTATGCCAGAAAGACCAGCCAGAGGGATGACATCTCAAACACCAGGACTGATCACTGCCTCCAAACCTACACTCAGCACCACCTCCTCTCCTGCTGATCCCTTTATATGAGACAGCTATATCAACCAAGAACCCGCTCCACTCTACCTCCCAGTAGCAGGATCCAGACAGACACTCTCTACACAACACCTAGGGGTAGGAGGTAAATCTATCTGGATGATCAGGATAGGACTGGATATTATCACTCCTTGTCACCTTCCTGTTCCCCTCAGACAGACACAGATATGTATTAACTGTGTTGGGATCCAATGAGAGCTGGCAGGAATCTGAGGACAGAGAAAAAACAACAGGTGAAGTGTGTGTGTGTCTGTGTGTGTGTGTGTGTGTGTGTGTGTGTGTGTGTGTGTGTGTGTGTGCGTGTGTGTGTGTCTGTGTGTGAGTGCGTGTGTGCGTGTGTGAGTGCGTGTGTGCATGTGTGAGTGTGTTTCATCATGTATAGTCCCGTGTAGCTCAGTTGGTAGAGCATGGCGCTTGCAACGCCAGGGTTGTGGATTCGATTCCCACGGGGGGCCAGTATGGAAATGTATGCACTCACTAACTGTAAGTCGCTCTGGATAAGTGCGTCTGCTAAATGACTTAAATGTAAATCATGTGTTTGTGCATGCATGCTTTACTCACATTCCAAGAACTTCTCTCTGGTCTTTGGTTCAGGTGGAATAATGTGAAATCATGTCACTACGGAGACATAACATTAATATCATTGGTCCACAGTGATAATGACATAAACATACAGGAAGTCAAAGAGAGGTTCTCCACTGAGAACAAGCATTCATGTTAGATCACCTACAGTGAGGAAAAAAGTATTTGATCCCCTGCTGATTTTGTACGTTTGCCCACTGACAAAGACATGATCAGTCTATAATTTTAATGGTAGGTTTATTTGAACAGTGAGAGACAGAATAACAACAAAAAAATCCAGAAAAACGCATGTCAAAAATGTTATAAATTGATTTGCATTTTAATGAGGGAAATAAGTATTTGACCCCTCTGCAAAACATGACTTAGTACTTGGTGGCAAAACCCTTGTTGGCAATCACAGAGGTCAAACGTTTCTTGTAGTTGGCCAACAGGTTTGCACAAATCTCAGGAGGGATTTTGTCCCACTCCTCTTTGCAGATCTTCTCCAAGTCCTTAAGGTTTCGAGGCTGACGTTTGGCAACTCGAACCTTCAGCTCCCTCCACAGATTTTCTATGGGATTAAGGTCTGGAGACTGGCTAGGCCACTCCAGGACCTTAATGTGCTTCTTCTTGAGCCACTCCTTTGTTGCCTTGGCCGTGTGTTTTGGGTCATTGTCATGCTGGAATACCCATCCACGACCCATTTTCAATGCCCTGGCTGAGGGAAGGAGGTTATCGCCCAAGATTTGACGGTACATGGCCCCGTCCATCGTCCCTTTGATGCGGTGAAGTTGTCCTGTCCCCTTAGCAGAAAAACACCCCCAAAGCATAATGTTTCCAACTCCATGTTTGACGGTGGGGATGGTGTTCTTGGGGTCATAGGCAGCATTCCTCCTCCTCCTCCAAACACGGCGAGTTGAGTTGATGCCAAAGAGCTCGATGTTGGTCTCATCTGACCACAACACTTTCACCCAGTTCTCCTCTGAATCATTCAGATGTTCATTGGCAAACTTCAGACGGGCCTGTATATGTGCTTTCTTGAGCAGGGGGACCTTGCGGGTGCTGCAGGGTTTCAGTCCTTCACGGCGTAGTGTGTTACCAATTGTTTTCTTGGTGACTATGGTCCCAGCTGCCTTGAGATGATTGACAAGACCCTCCCGTGTAGTTCTGGGCTGATTCCTCACCGTTCTCATGATCATTGCAACTCCATGAGGTGAGATCTTGCATGGAGCCCCAGACCGAGGGAGATTGACAGTTATTTTGTGTTTCTTCCATTTGTGAATAATCGCACCAACTGTTGTCACCTTCTCACCAAGCTGCTTGGCGATGGTCTTGTAGCCCAATCCAGCTTTGTGTAGGTCTACAATCTTGTCCCTGACATCCTTGGAGAGCTCTTTGGTCTTGGCCATGGTGGAGAGTTTGGAATCTGATTGATTGCTTCTGTGGACAGGTGTCTTTTATACAGGTAACTAGCTGAGATTAGGAGCACTCCCTCCTAATCTCAGCTCGTTATCTGTATAAAAGACACCTGGGAGCCAGAAATCTTTCTGATTGAGAGGGGGTCAAATACTTATTTCCCTCATTAAAATGCAAATCAATTTATAACATTTTTGACATGTGTTTTTCTGGATTTATTTGTTGTTATTCTGTCTCTCACTGTTCCAAATAAACCTACCATTAAAATTATAGACTGATCATTTCTTTGTCAGAGGGCAAACGTACAAAGTCAGCAGGGGATCAAATACTTTTTTCCCTCACTGCACACTGTATGGCTGATTAACTCTCATGGGATAAAGCAGATTTTAAAAAAAATACAAGACATCTTGTAAATGTCCCTACTTTGTGAAGATATCATGACAATTTCCACAGAGCAGATATCTTCCAGTTGTTTTTTCAGCTCAGAAACAGATTTCTTCACACCCTCAAAGGAGACGTGTTGGTTGACAGTGATGCTGGGTAAGTCCTCAGATCCAGGAAGGACACAGAGAGACGGGAGACTCTACAGAGACAGAGAAAAGAGGATGGTTGAGAAAATACTTTCAGTATTGACACCTGCTGCTGTGGACAGAGAGCCAGTGATGTCACCTGGAGGAAGTGGATGTGATCCTCTGTGTGTGAGAGCTGCTCCAGCTCAGCGTCTCTCCTCTTCAACGCAGCCACTTCCTGCTCCAGTCGCTTCAGGAGTCCTTCAGCCCGACTCACTTCAGCCTTCTCCTGGGCTCTGATAATCCCATTCACCTCAGAGTGCCTTCTCTCAATGGAGTGGATCAGCTCAGTAAAGATTCTCTCACTGCCCTCCATTGCTCCCTGTGCAGAGTGCTGTTAGGACACAGAGAGAGGAAGGGTTCCATTTCAACCAGCCCATTCACTCAGCTCTCACCAGGACCCCAGTCAGCCTGTTCCCTAGTAGGGCTCAGTGGGAGAGGAACATGGCCCAGCACTGGGCTCCTCACTGGCTCCAGATTTACAGCACTTTGGAGGAGTAAGTCCTTTTACAGAGGACTATCTGTTAAGTGAATACGTGAAATGGTCAACAACACTCACCTTGAGAGACTTCACAGCCTGTCTCACCTCCTGAATCCCTTTCTCTCTCTTCTGGATTCTCCGTTTGGATTTCTGCTGTGTCTCCCCCAGCTGCCTCTGTAGAGAAACACGTCATTTTAGTTAATTTGTAGAACTGGTTTTATTGAAAGCACTTCATGACTTTATGATAAGCACTTCATGATTTTTTAAAACTGAAAGCACTTTATGATGGGTCAATGACTTTGTGTGTATGTGCATCTGTGTCTATATCTCTGTCTTTATCTGTGTCTGTGTGTCTGGGTTCGTGTGTGTATTTGTGTGTGTGTATTTGTGTGTGTTTGTGTTTGAAAATAAGTAACATTGTGATGATTCACTTCTTTCTTATCTCTCTCTCTCCATACTAGCTGTCATTCCATTGTTAATCTGTTCGTTTTTTAAAGTTGTTGTCATACAGAAATTGACAACTACTTTCAAGACTTTCACAGTGATATTCAGAATGAACAGCTAACAATGAGTTTTGACCTTACCTGTCTGTCAGTCCTTTCTGATTCAGCTGGGACTGTATCATGGCCTTTATGTACACCCATTGTACAAAGATAACAGATAAACTGCTGATCGTTACGGCAGTAACTCTCCAGCAGTTTGTCATGACGAGAGCAGATCTTCTCCTGTAGTTGTGTGGAGGCTTGGACCAGCTTGTGCTTCTTAAAGGCAGGCGATTCATAGTGAGGCTGGAGGTAAGTCTCACAGTAAGAGGCCAGACACACCAGACAGGACTTGACAGCTTTGAGTTTTCTCCCAGTACAGGAGTCACAGGCCACATCTCCAGGTCCAACATAATAAGTGAACAGGAGGAGCAGCTTGGAGTCCTGTCTTCTTCAGATTCTCCAACAATTCAGTCACCAGAGTGTTTCTGTTCAGAACAGGCCTTGGGATGAAGGTCTGTCTGCACTGGGGACAGCTGTAGACACACTTATGATCATCCTGATCAAAGCAGTCCTTAATACAGTCCATACAGTAGCTGTGTCCACAGGGAATACCCACCGGATCCTTCATTAGATCCAGACAGATGGGACAACTGATGGAATCCTTGTATGTTGCCATGTTGGATCTGACACTACAGACTGACCAACAGAGTATAAGAGATACTTTCTGTTTCTCTAGAAGTATATGTGCTTATAAGTGGGAATATTTCCTGGTTGAGTAGGTGTACTCATACCTTTACAAGGTGTGGTGTTGGACTGAGGCCAGGAGGTGATAGCTGTGATTGTGATTGGACAACCAGAGGTGGCTGTGAAAGGGGAAGACTGGAGTATTTGGTCTGGAGTCCTGCCTCCATTCTTCAGAATCAGACAACTGTAAGTATGCAGAAGAACCAGACTTGATTTGGATCATGACAGAAAACTCCCATTGGTCTGGGAACAGGAGACGTGGTTTCTTGCTGAAGATGAAAACCCACACATATCACAAAGATTGATTAAATTAATTAAACACACTAGTTCACTTCAGGACACTTGACACTAAAACTTGTTACATATACATTTGTCTTGTATTTTACAAAATGTAAATATTTCACAACACTGACATGTGAAGTCATAAAAAAAAGACAAAGAATTAAACCATTATACAGGTCATCTTACAGTACATTTCCAGGGCATTAAAAAAGCTTTCTTCTTAATAACAACGAGTTTGAATCACCAGTTCATATCCATGCAGTAGTATTTAGTAGCTTTTCAGAATTCTGATCTACATTACTGAGGAACAGGATGAAGTTACCCCTAGACGCTGATCTAAGATTAGTTTTGCGAATCCCCCCTAATGGTTAAGGTTATTATTGAGGAATGGCTAGCTGCTCCTGGATCTGTGCCTGAGGAAAAATGTCTACCCAGAGCCAGTATTGACAAGTTGGACAGGATCAGAGACTCATTATTCAACCAAACAAAAACGTTATATGCCAAACAAAAACGTCTTGACAGAGAAGAATGCAGTCCTATATCTCACCACCAAATGGAGACTACAACAACCACAGAAACGCACTCGTTAATTAACTACATTGTTTTGCGATATGATACCTGTAGATGCAAAGTGAATTACTAGCTAGGTTTCCATCCAATTGGCGACAGATTTTTATGCACATATTATAAAATCCACATAAAAACAATATGTGCAGTTTCCCATCAGAGATGTGTTTCAATCCAATTGATTTGTGGATAAACGTGTGCGTGATGACGTAGTGCACATAAAAATTACTTTTGCGGTTAAATTCCCATGTACCAAATAAAAAATACAAGTTAAATAGGTTTCCATTACATTATCAACTTGAAACCCTTTTTATTTTTTTATATAGCGAATGTGCCGACTTTGGTATGGGCACGTGCGCTCTAGCCAACAAGTTCACAGATGCAGTGCGGGTATAGCCTACATGATGAGATCATTATGGACAAAAGAGAGATTATTTGTATTTGTCAAAACGGCAGCCAAGCATCGATCATCATGTCACCAGAATAAGACCCTCAATATTTATTGGAAAGGAGTATCAAGCTCATCACCTTGCACGTTCACCACCCTGTGAAGTTCATCATAACTTCTTTCATTCATCTGTAGCCTAATAAACTGCATACTTTCCCGAGTCGTAGTGGGAGAACCACTCAATACGTATATCAATATTTGCGCATAAAAGTGTTTCCACCGCTATTTCTCGCATTATAAATTGTACAGACAAAAAAAGATCCCACCTTGTCTAGCATATTTTGTTTTGTTGACATTTGGAAAGTTTACCGACAAATGTTCTGTTTCCATCAGGCCTGTCATTAAATTTTTTATCCGACATGAACTTTACTCGCATAAAAAGTTTGGATGGAAACCTGGTTATTATTATCATCCTTCTATTTTGAATTGTGTGGAATTAAAGAGCTAAATATTCAGGTCCATAATAAATAGATATATCCATAATGCATTCCTCCTCTAAGTGTTATTTTGTACATCATCACTAGACTTAGTTTGTGTAACACCTAAAACAGACCACGGTTGTGATCATCCATTTACCTTTTATTGTATTTTGTTGAGTCAACAGTTTGTAGCAAAGTCTTGTGTGTCACTACAATACAGTAATAGTACCAGAAACTTGAAACTGCTTGAAACCTTACTCTCTCACACATACAGTGACATGCATGAACGAGCACACACACACACACACACACACACACACACACACACACACACACACACACACACACACACACACACACACACACACACACACACACACACACACACACACGCACACACAAACACACACACACACAAAGGAAGTAGATTAAAAAAATTGGAAAATAAAGACAGATTGTTTAAACCGATGCAAGCACCTCCATCAGAGGCATTCCTCAGGTAGCCAGGTTGTACAGCTCCCATGTTTGACATGCTTGTTTGTTTGTCACATTATTCACTTCACAGAGTAGGGTGAAATTGCCCCTAATCACTGATCTAAGGTCATGTGTTTTTTCCCCCTAATGGTCAAGGTTAGGATTTGAGGCGGGAATGCTGATCCTAGATCTGTACCTAAGGGCAATTTCAACCTAGAGCCACATATTCACAATACAGGCTGTTTTGAGTCCTGTATCAACTCAAGCAAACAGGACTGAGAGGGATGAGGGTTGTATGAGTGAGAGTAGACACCTTAACTGTCCACAGAAGAGTGATTTCCTCTGTGTAAAACAAACAAATGGCAACTTGACGACGCATATCTTTACACCTGATCAAATGGTTTTCCTATTGTAAAAAAAAATCCAGTATTTATTTTTCTCTTAGGGCCGAATCCTAACTTGAGATCAAATATTCCATTGACATGAATCCATTATTTACACAAACGTCAGTTAAATTGCCGTTACGTGGTGTCTCAAGTTAGGACTCGTCCCAAAGAGAAGTAGTGGTTGTTATGGTGATGTTTTAGTGTACCAGACGTATCGTTATGACAACGGCCACCATGTTGGAGGTTTCTCCTGAGCCCTCAGAACACTGTGCACCTCTTGCCCCTCTTCTTGACGGGCGGGGGGCACAGCACAGCACGGATGGCCTCGTCAAACACCGTCTTCAACCCTCGCTGGGTCAGGGCCGAGCACTCCAGGTACTTCACAGCACCTGACCACCACACACAAACAAACAAACAACAACATCTTTATTACACATCTATAAACATTGAAAAAAACTATTTTATCCATTACTTCATCTGACTCTTGGTATGTAGATGAACGGCTTAAATGCCAACATCTCGCACTATCCCTTTAAAGGTACAGACTCAGAAATATGACATTTATACTTTCGTATCATGTCCCCTAATCTTTTGAATGGGCTTCACGATTATATCATCAAATTCACTATTATATATTATTATATTATTATATTATTATATTATTATATTATTATATTATATTATATTATATATTATATTATATATATAGTATATTATATATATTATATTATATATTATTATTATATTATATTATTATAATATTCACGATTATATCATCAAATTTGTTCCGAATGTGGGCATGGATGGGCAGACACCCACACAGACTGACCTATCTCCCGTGCCATGGCCAGGCCCTGGGGGTAGGTGATGGGGGACAGCTTCTTGTCCCTCAGCCTCTCCATGGTGTCCTTGTCATCTCTCAGATCCAGTTTGGTGCCCACCAGGATGATGGGGGTGTTGGGGCAGTGGTGTCTCACCTCTGGGTACCACTGAGACACGACACACACAGAGGATAAAGGTCATTATGTCAAATATGGAGATCAAGGCTGGGTGGAACAGAGCTATAGAAATAAAACCTCTAATCTGATCTAGGGACATAGATGGCTGATAGGACTATTATGGCTAGAGTAGAACAGAATATCATAACACAGTAGAATAGAATAGAACACCATTAGACACTGCTAAAAAAAAACACCCATCCTTTAAAAACACTAAATCACCTTTATGAATCATCACTTTGAAACAGAGTCATATAGTGCCTTCGGAAAATATTCAGACCCCTTGACTATTTCCACATTTTGTTACATTACAGCCTTATTCTAAAATTGATTTAAACAAAAAATCCTCAGCAATCTACACACAATACCCCATAATGACAAAGCGAAAACAGTTTAGATGTTTTAGCAAATGAGATGTTTCTACAACTTCATGGGAGTCCACCTGTGGTAAATTAAATTGATTGGACATGATTTGGAAAGGCACACACCTGTCTATATAAGGTTCCACAGTTGACAGCGCATGTCAAAGCAAAAACCAAGCCATGAGGTCGAAGGAATTGTCCATAGAGCACAGAGACAGGATTGTGTCGAAGCACAGATCTGGCGAAGGGTACCAACAAATTTCTGCAGAATTGAAGGTCCCCAAGAACACAGTGGCCTCCATCATTCTTAAATGGAAGAAGTTTGGAACCACCAAGACTCTTCCTAGAGCTGGCCTCCTGGCCAAACTGACCAATCGGGGGAGAAGGGCCTTGGTCAGGGAGGTGACCAAGAACCCGATGGTCACTCTGACAGAGCTCTAGAGTTCCAGAAGGACAACTGTCTCTGCAGCCCTCCACCAACCAGGCCTTTATGATAGAGTGGCCAGACAGAACCACTCCTCAGTAAAAGGCACATGACAGCCCGCTTGAAGTTTGCCAAAAGGCACCTAAAGACTCTCAGACCATAAGAAACAAGATTCTCTGGTCTGATGAAACCAAGATTGAACTCTTTGGCCTGAATGCCAAGCGTCACGGTGAAGCATGGTGGTGGTAGCATCATGCTGTGGGGATGTTTTTCAGCGGCAGGATTGGGAGACTAGTCAGGATTGAGGCAAAGATGAATGAAGCAAAGTACAGAGAGATCCTTGATGAAAACCTGCTCCAGAGCGCTCAGGACCTCAGACTGGGGTGAAGGTTCACCTTCCAACAGGACAACGACCCTAAGCAGACAGTCAAGACAATGCAGGAGTGGCTTCGGAACAAGTCTCTGAATGTCCTTGAGTGGCCCAGCCAGAGCCCAGACTTGAACCCGATCGAACATCTCTGGAGAGACCTGAAAAGACCTGTCCAGCAACACTCCCCATCCAACCTGACAGAGCTTGAGAGAATCTGCAGAGAAGAATGGTAGAAACTCCCCAAATACATGTGTGCCAAGCTTGTAGCGTCATACCCAAGAAGAATCAAGGCTGTAATCGCTGCCAAAGGTGCTTCAACAAAATACTGAGTAAAGGGTCTGTATACTTCTGTAAATGTGATATTTTAGTTTTTTTTTTATACATTTGCTAAAATGTCTAAAAAACTGTTTTTGCTTTGTCATTATGGGGTATTGTGTGTAGTTTGATGAGAGGAAAAAACAATTTAATCCATTTTAGAATAAGGCTGTAACGTAAACAAAATGTGGAAAAAGTCAAGAGGTCTGAATACTTTCCAAATGCACTGTATGTATAGAGAGAGTTTGACACACAGAAAGGTGTGTGATGTCATCTAAGAGCATCGTAATGCTTTTTTGTTGAAACCACAATGGCCAAACTCTCTCTCTATATAACAGGACTGTAGCTATAGAATATGAACCAGGGAGAGCTATAGATGTGCTTCTTTAGGTCAGGCTCGGCAGCTCCCCTGTTCCTGTGTCTATGAGGAGGTAGGTTCAGTACTGACCTTAGCTCTGACGTTCTCAAAGGAGGCGGGGCTGACCAGGGAGAAGCATATCAAGAACACATCCTGGGGAGAACCATAGAGAGACAGACCTTAGAGTGAAACCACTGAGACCAACCAACCATGGGGGAAACCACTGAGACCAACCTACCACGGAATCACCTGACTCCACATGTGTGTGTGTGTGTGTGTGTGTGTGTGTGTGTGTGTGTGTGTGTGTGTGTGTGTGTGTGTTTGTGTGTGTGTGTGTGTGTGTTGTGTGTGTGTGTGTGTGTGTGTGTTTGTGTGTGTGTGTGTGTGTGTGTGTGTGTGTGTGTGTGTGTGTGTGTGTGTGTGTGTGTGTGTGTGTGTTACCGTTTGTGGATAGGACAGTGGTCGGAGCCTGTCGTAGTCTTCCTGTCCTGCTGTATCCCATAGACCCAGATTCACTGGTTTCCCATCTACCATCACATTGGCAGAGTAGTTGTCAAAGCTGCAGGGAGAGGAAACCCTCTCTTTATATCTGGATGCCAGCTTTGTGTATAGTATGATCTAAAATACAGCTCTGTGTATAGTATACATCTAAAATACAGCTCTGTGTATAGTATAATCTAAAATACAGCTCTGTGTATAGTATAATCTAAAATACAGCTCTGTGTATAGAATACATCTAAAATACAGCTCTGTGTATAGTATAATCTAAAATACAGCTCGGTGTATAGTATAAGTAAATACACTTCTGTTGTATAGATAATCTAAAATACCGCTCTGGGTATAGTAGAAATCTAAAATACAGCTCTGTGTTAATCGAATACATCTAAAAAGTACAGCTCTGTGTATAGTAATCAATCTAAAATACAGCTCTGTGTAATAGAATAAAATATAAAATAAAGCTCGGTGTATAGTATAATCTACGAAAATCCAGCTCGTGTGTATAGTAGAATCTAAAATACAGCTTCTGTGTATAGTATAAATCTAAAATACAGCTCTGTGTTAGTATAACTAAAATACCGCTCGGTGTATAGTAATCTCTAAATACAGCTCTGTGTATAGTATAATCTAAAATACAGCTCTGTGTATAGTATAATCTAAAATACAGCTCGGTGTATAGTTAAAGTCTACAATACAGCTCGTGGATAGTAATAATCTAGAAACAGCTTCTGTGTATCGTAATAATCTAAAATATAAGCTCGGTTGTATAGTTATAAATCTAAAAATACAGCTCTGTGTATAAGTATAATCTAAAATACGCTCTGTGTATAGTCTAGATCGAAAATACAGCTCGGTGTATAGTATAATCTAAAAATAACGCTCTGTGTCATAGTATACTCCGAAATACAGCTCTGTGTATAGTAACTCTAAAATCCCGTCTGTGTATATTATAATCTAAAATACAGCTCTGGTAGGTATAAATCTAAAATAAAGCTCGGTGTGAGAGTTAAAATCTAAAATACTGCTCTGTGTAAGTATCACTCTAAAATACAAGGCTCTCTGTATAGTATAAATCTAAAATACAGCTCTGTGATAGTATAATCTAAAATACAGCTCTGTGTATAGTATAATCTAAAATACAGCTCTGTGTATAGTATAATCTAAAATACAGCTCTGTGTGTAGAATACATCTAAAACACAGCTCTGTGTATAGTATAATCTAAAATACAGCTCTGTGTATAGTATGATATAAAATACAGCTCTGTGTATAGTATGATATAAAATACAGCTCTGTATATAGTATACATCTCAAATACAGCTCTGTGTGTAGTATAAATCTAAAACACAGCTCTGTGTATAGTATAATCTAAAATAAAGCTCTGTGTATAGTATAATCTAAAATACAGCTCTGTGTATAGTATAATCTAAAATACAGCTCTGTGTATAGTAATAATCAAAAATACAGCTCTGTGTATAGTATAAATCTAAAATACAGCTCTGTGTATAGTATAAATCTAAAATACAGCTCTGTGTATAGTATACATCTAAAATACAGCTCTGTGTGTAGTATACATCTCAAATACAGCTATGTGTGTAGTATAAATCTAAAACACAGCTCGTGGTATATTTATATAAATCTAACAATACAGCTTCTGTGTATATTAAAGCTAAAATACAGCTCGTGTATAGTATAAATCTAAATACAGCTCGGTGTTAGTATAATCTAAATCGCTCTGTTGTACTAGTATATCTAAAATACATCTCTTTGTATAGTATAATCTCAATACAGCTCGGTGTATAGTATAAAATCTAAAATACATCTCTGTTTATAGTATAATCTAAAATCAGCTCGTGTATAGTATAATCTAAAATACAGCTCTGTGTATATAAAATCTAAATACATCTCGTGTATAGTTACTCTAAAATACAGCATCTGTGTAGGTATACTCTAAATACAGCTCTGTGTAAAGTAAAATCTCAAATACAGCTTCGGTGTATCGTATAAATCTAAATAACAAGCTCTGTGTATAGTATAATCTAAAATTAACACTCTTTGTATAGTACTAATCTAAAATACAGCTCTGTGTATATATAATCTAAAATACAGCTCTGTGTTAGTATTAAATCTAAAATAACAGCTCAGTGTATAGTATACCTCTAACAGTACAAGCTCTGTGTATAGTATAATCTAAAATACAGCTCTCTGGTTAGTAATAAATCGAAATCAGCTCTGTGTCTAGTAGATCAATAACAGCTCTGTGTATATATAATCAAAATACAGCTCTTTGTAAGTATACATCTAAAATACAGCTTCTTGTGTGAAATACTCTAAAAACCCGCTCTGTGTAATAGTATAATCTAAAATACAGCTCTGTGTATAGTATGATAGAAAATCCAGCTCTGTGTAATAGTATGATATAAATACAGCTCTGATATAGTAAATACATCTCAAATACAGCTCTGTTGTGGGATAAAATTTCTAAAACACAGCTCTGTGTATATATATCCTAAATTAAAGCGCTGTTTATAGTAAATCTAAATACAGCTCGGTTTATAAAGGTATAATCCTAAAATAACAGCTCTGTGTATAGTATATCATCAAAAATACAGCTCTGTGTATAGTTAATCTCAAATACAGTCTGTGTATTATATAAATCTAAAATAACAGCTCTGTGGATAGTTACATCTAAAATACAGCTCTGTGTTGTAGTATACAATCTCAAATAACCTCTATGTGTGTAGTATGAATCTAAAACACAGCTCTGTGTATAGTATAAATCGAAAATACAGCTCTGTGTATAGTATAATATAAATACAGCTTCGTGTATATATAATCTAAAATTAAAATTCAAGCTCTGTGTAGAGTAAATCTCAAATACAGCTCTGTGGTGTAGTATCCATCTAAAACACAGCTCTGTGTATAGTGATACTCTAAAATACAGCTATGTGTAATAAGTATAATCTAAATACCAGCTCTGTGTATAGATACATCTAAAATACAGCTCTGTGTATAGTATAAATATAAAATACAGCTCTGTGTATAGTATAATATAAAATTCAGCTCTGTGTATAGTATACATCTCAAATACAGCTCTGTGTGTAGTATACATCTAAAACACAGCTCTGTGTATAGTTTAATCTAAAATACAGCTCTGTGTATAGTGTAATCTAAAATACAGCTCTGTGTATAGTATAATCTAAAATACAGCTCTGTGTATAGTATACAATCTAAAATACAGCTCTGTGTATAGTATACATCTCAAATACAGCTATGTGTGTAGTATAAATCTAAAACACAGCTCTGTGTATAGTATAATCAAAAATACAGCTCTGTGTATATTATGAATCTAAAATACAGCTCTGTGTATAGTATAAATCTAAAATACAGCTCTGTGTATAGTATAAATCTAAAATACAGCTCTGTGTATAGTATGAATCTAAAATACAGCTCTGTGTATAGTATAATCTAAAATACAGCTCGTTGTATAGTATACATCTAAAATACAGCTCTGTGTATAGTATAATCTAAAATACAGCTCTTTGTATAGTATACATCTAAAATACAGCTCTGTGTATAGTATAATCAAAAATACAGCTCTGTGTATAGTATAATCAAAAATACAGCTCTGTGTTTAGTATAATCTAAAATACAGCTCTGTGTATATATAAAATCGAAATACAGCTCTGTGTATAGTATGAATCTAAAAATACAGCTCTGTGTATAGTATGAATTAAACTACCGCTCTGTTGTATAGTATAATCTAATACGCTCTGTGTATAGTAAATCACAATACAGCTCTGTGGATAGTATAATCTAAAATACAGCTCTTTGTAATAGTAATATCTAAAATTAACTCTGTGTATCGTATAATCTAAAATATAGCCTCTGTGTATAGTATACCTCTCAAATACAGCTCGTGTTTATACTACATCTCAATACAGCTCTGTGTGTATTAAAATAAATCTAAAACCCAGCTCTTTTGTATAGTCAGACTCTACAATCCAGCTCTGTGTAGAGTATAATATTAAAATACAGCTCTGTCTAATCGTATCTCTAACTACAGCTCGTGGTGTAGTATAAATCTAAAACACAGCTCTGTGTATAGTTAATCTAAAATACGCTCGGTGTATATTATAAATCTAAAATACCAGTCTATTGTATAGATATACATCTCAAATACAGCCTCTGTGTATAGAATACTCTAAAATACCGCTCTGTTAAGTATGCAATATAAAATCCAGCTCTGTGTATAGTATAATATAAAATTCCGCTCTGTGTAATAGTATTACATCTCAAACCAGCTCGGTGTGTAGTATGACATAAAACCACTCTGTGTAATTTTTAATAATCTAAATACAGCTCTTTATAGTGTATCTAAAATACAGCTACTGTGTATAGTTATCTAAATACAGCTGTTTAATAGTATACATCTAAATACCAAGCTCTGTGTATAGTATACATCTAAAATACAGCTCTGTGAAAGATAATCAAAATACAGCTTCTGTATAGTATAAATCAAAAATACAGCTCTGTGTATATTTGAATCTAAAATACAGCTCTGTGTATAGTAGAATCTTAAATACAGCCTGTGTATAGTCATAAATCTCAAATTCCGCTCTGTGTCTGTAATGAATCTAAAATACAGCTCTGTGTATATATAATCTAAAATACACTCGGTGTATAGTATACACTAAATAACAGCTCTGTGTATATAGAACTAAAATCACTCTTTGATAGTATACATCTAAAATACAAGCTCTGGTATATAACTAGATCAAAAATACAGCTCTGTGTATAGTATAATCAAAAATACAGCTCCTGGTGTTTTTAGTATAATCTAAAATACATCTCTGTGTATAGTATAATCTAAAATACAGCTCTGTGTATAGTAATTAACAAAATAACAGCTCTGTGTATATAATGTAATCTAAAATAACAGCCTGTGTATAGTATAACTAAATACAGCTCTGTGTATAGTACAATCACAAAACCGCTCTGTGTAT